TGCTGCAGAATGTGTGATTATGATATAGTGTGAGGCTGAAGCAAACACAGTTTATTTAAAAGCTTTACTTCTAGTTAGTGTATGCTCTGTGGGAGCCACATAGCAGCTGAGTTTCAGCTATGTTCATAAAATGCTTCCAAACTGGCATAGTTAGACTGCTGGATCTATTTTTCTAGCTTAAACTGAATGAGCAGTGTATTAGGGAGGGTTCAAAACATACCGAATCTTGAAACCACAACATCGCTGAAAGCTCAACAAAAACCAATATTTATTAGCAAGAGGTGGCCAACAAAATGAACAAACCCAAAGGGAAGGAAAGAGGAGAGAAATAAGCCCCCAGCACGACCTCCCCAGTTACCCAGCTGTTGCCCATAAAGTTATCTTACCGACCTAGCATGCCTATAATTACCCATAGCAGAAGCTGCATCCTTGGAGAGTCAGTAAGTTCACAAACTGGCACAAACCCCATCAAAGGCAATGTTGTCCTTGAGGTAAAGCTAGCTCTCATTCAGGAAAGAGCCATCTGCTTTTATACAATTAACTGAGTGACCTCAATCTCCCAGGTGTGGCCAGCACCACCCAGCCAGAGGCCCTCAGTCCCACCTCCTTAGTTATTAAAGTGCATCTCTTCTGCGCACGCGTGGCTTTCCCTGCGCCTGCGTACTGTACTCAGGGGGGTCTTTTCCAAATGAGTCTGGGGGCGTCCTTCATCCTCCTCCTCCTCAATCTCTCCTTCAACTGACCTTGGAGGACAATTAGCCAATCACAAAACACCAATTAAAACAGTTTACACAAGAAGCTCTCTTCAAGGACAACTTTCCCGTTTATCAGTGCTTGTTTTCCCATAACTTGGCAGGGAAAGAGCAAAACTTTCACCGGTGGTGGGGCAAAAACACAGACCAAAAGTATCAGCATAATTAACCCCTGATACAGCAGAGGCATAACCAAACAAGGAGAATGTATGCGGAAAAGATAATATTGAGCTTGGCTTTATTCTTTGCAAAATATCTGCTCTTTCAATATCAGCTTAGAAGTTTTGGCTTTGTCCAAATCCACAGTACAATGCATCCACACCTCTAAGTAATCTTTGTTGGCCAAAGTGCAAAGAGCTTAATCTTGTGTTTTGCAGGATGACAAAATGTGTATAAAATTTCATATCTTATGTCAAACAATTCTCCTAAAGAGCTAGTTTAAAACGCCTACATTTAATACTTATTTGTGTGGACGCAGTATGCCTTATAAGGGGTTGGTCTGCCCAGCAGCTAATCAGATGATGACCAGCCTACTGCTTCTCAATTCACGTGGCCAGGCAGCGATGCCATGTGGCACTTGGCCACAGCACATTTGACCTTGGGAGGCAGAATGGCTGTCTCTCAGGGAAGCAGAACATCTAAGATTACTTATCCCTGTCTTTCTAATGCAATCAAGTTTATGTTTGATGCACTTTTAGTCTTGGTGGCATTTTCTCTAGTAAGTGTTTTATATTTAAAATGTAAGGAGGAGCATTGTTGTTAAACAACAGGTCACCTTGTCTACAGGTAAGTATTACTTTTTCTGCTTTAGGGTAGCTGCTTTACTAGTTTTTGTGGTTTAAATTCAGTTTGAGACCTTCAAGGACACACCAATTGTGGGCTCCAGTGGAGAGCATCAGAGAGTAGGGAGTCGAGTAAAATCAAGTGACATAATGTATTTCTCTTTATGAGGAATAGGGCCACTCCTAATATGTTTGTTCCATCTGTCCATTATTTTTCCTTCTTTCCATATCAGTTTATGGGCCAAAAAGGCAGACAAACCACCAGCTCTCATTTCATGTGTAACGCAGGCCTTGGAATTTGACCCAGTGTCTCTTTTAACTGATGCCATTAAATTTTTAAAAAAAAATATTATTAAAGGACAGCTTGAAAAAACTATTGTGACCTTTATTGGAAGACCTTGCAAGGTAGTCAACCCCTTTTATTGACTGATGGCTAGGACAATCATCCTCACTGTTGAGTATATTACTATAATTACTATTATTATTATTCTACTCTGGATGTGCCTAAACATGACTTGCAGCTGTTGATTCTCATTGTGCCTTTCTCTGCAGGTGACAGTGCCACCAGTACTCTGTAATTTCTGTGGTGCAATTGAGAGATGAGAGTCATGCCTCCAAGTGCCCCCTGTAAGGCATTTTTTGATCTTACTAATTGATCCTGTCCTTTCGCTCTGGACCATCTCCAAGCTTTCAACATAATAAAAAAACCCGTGGGTGGCTGCTCAGTCAGTGGGTGTTGCAGCTCCAGGCTTTGCTGGGCTTCCAATTCCTCATTGTCAGTCACAGGTGACAGTGACTTCTCCAGTGGTTGCCAATGAGGTTCCTGCTCTTGTCAGCTTGTCCTTCCTTGCTGGCTGAATGGGAGCCAGCTGTCACATACTTACCTGTTATCTGGGTGTGTCTAAATCCAGCAGGCAGTCAAAAAAGCTTCTGTGAGTCCTGACCCAGAATAGCAGCCTCCGGGAGCAAGGGGACTGGTATTGACACCAAGAGTCTTTGCAACTCCTCTTCCTGAATCCTGGGTGGTTCCCACCTCTCTGTGGGCTCAGCCAGCCTGTTCACTGGCCTTGGAGCCCTGCAGTAGGCTTAACTTCACAGAGTGGTGTGGGAGGTGCACAGGCAGAAGACAACCATTGGAACTAAAAATGTATTGGTGATGCATCAAAAATGAAGAGGAAAAGATACGAGCAAAAACTGCTTCCACCAGCAGTTACACTCTGCCCGTAGTTGCTCTTAGGTGTTCCTACAGGTCAGACAACTCAAATGGATTCATGGATCAACAGCATTGAGGCAGCATGGTGGTCCAGGACCTGAGGAGACTCCACTAACATTACTGAGCATCTGCTCTTGTTTGAGTACCTTCAGCTGTTCAGGTGACTTGTGCTCCTCTGAAGGATTCCCTCTTCTTTAGCTACTGAGCTTGCCATTTGCAAATTTCATCAACAATATTTTTTACAGTTGTATTTCCTGCTGCAAATACTAAACAGCACAGTTATTGCAGAGAGGCACACACTGTCTGCAGTGATTGCTGCTTTTTTTGGACCATGTATTTTTGTCTGTTAGCTAGCAATTAATCCATATAACGCAAATTACGGTCTATTCATACACTATTCACTTCTTCCTTAGAATTTACAAATTTCTTCATTTGTTTAATCTGCACCAGTGCTTTCATCAACTAAATGTATTATTTTGTCAAAGAATGAAGTCAGGTTTGTTTCCCACAATGCTTTCTTTTCTTTTTTTGAATACTAAGTTGTTCATATTATTTTAATTGTTTAAACATCTGTTAGCTGACTTGTAATAACTTCATGCTCTCTTACCTATGATTGTTACTACAGAACCATCTAACAGTCAGGTGTCATATCACTTTCTCTCTCTGAGCAGTGGCACCACATACTCTTCCAAGATTGGGAACTTCTCTAGTATGGGAGAAGCTGGGAATCTTGGGATTTCTCCAGTATGCCAGGATTTTTAAATACCTAAATCCATTGAACCAAGTGCCTCCTCAGCCAGATTTTCTATGATTCTGAGATGCAAATTTTCCTGGCTCCTGATCTGAAAATACTTATGCTTAATAGATGCTGTTAAAACTTTCCTTAGTTTGCAAACAGATGAGGAAGTTGTTTACTATCCTTATGTAGTAGAAATACACAAATCCTGTTCTTTCTGTATACAAACAACTACTTTCTCTGCATCAAAAAGCCTCCACCAAAAATCTTCATTATCAACAGTTTACCCATATCCGCCCAGTAAGAGCCTAGGCTGTTACTAGTATTTTTAGTTTTCAAAGTGTTTGAAAAAAACTGCTTCCAAGTGCCGTTAGGACTTGCAGCAATCCAGTTTTTCCAGGTTATTTTGAACACTCCTTATCACCTTGTATGCTTCATAAATTCTCACTTTTATTGTGTGCCATATACCTCCTTTCCATCCACCCCTCTCTTCTGCTTTTTTTCCCCCCTGTTGATTTTATACAGGGAATTTTGAAGTGTTAACCTTCAAATTCCCTGTTAGGCAGGAAAGGTACATTTAATCATGTCTGTCTTTTTCACAACTACAGAACCACAGATCTTCTCCATTTTGTAAACTTCTAGCAGTGAAATATCTATTAAAATTTTTATTGTAGCTTTCTCCTGGACAGTCATATTTCTCTGATTGCTTGATTTGCCCATAACTTCCCCTACCTGAGGATTTTCCATTTTGAAATACCAATTTTGCCTACTTATATGCCCAACTTCACACATAAAATGCTTATACACATAAATATATTACTTAAACACCTGCCTTGTAGGTATTAACCAAATGTACTTATATATAGCTACAGATACGCACCCACATACATGTTGTATATCTACTTCCAACATGTACACATACATACATGTACCAGTATACACACATGCATATATGCAGTCATACAAACACTCACCTATATACAATTTAATTTTCTCTGAAACCAGAGAAGAGGCATTTCTAAAAATGTCAGAGCTGAGGCTGTTCATGTTGCCCTCCCTGGATGAAGTTGTGTTTCCCTGTGAGTCCACCCCGAATGGTCACTCAGAATCGTCCACCAGGGGCAGCTCTACCCCTCCCATACCAACCAAGGGCTCAATTAATATTTGGACAGGGCTGGCTTTCCTGAGAAGGATGTGTCGAGGGACAGGAGACAAAGGACTGCAGGTGAGTGACACAAAGGTTTCCTTTGTTTTGAAGCCCTTAGAATTTGCTAAGATTTTGGTTTAGCTGAAAAGGAGAAAGAAAAAAAAACAACAAAGTAAGATGCAGGAAGACCAAAACAATGCAAAACATCACCTTGTGTTGCCTATCACCAGAAATGAGTCTCCAGCTCATACACTCCCTCCCTCTCCCTGCAGGATCCTAGGATATCCTGCCCTCCATCTCTCCTAAGTGGAGGTGCAGAGGAGAGGAAGATGCTCCTTTCTGCATCTCATCCACGAGGGATGTGGCTCACTCAGCGTTTTAAACTTTCACCTGTTCTTTTCCTGAGCACACTGAAGAGGACAATGATGAAGGTGATGGTAGCAATTAACCCCCCCACCTATACTTGCAATCTCCTTTGCTCTGCAGAGGAAGAGGAGGTCCAGTGATGTTGGGTTGGCTGGAGCAGCTGAACAAACAGCGACTTGTCACAGTTAAACATCCCTAACAACTGCGTGCATGCTCTTGTCAGGTACACAGATGTGACGTGACACAAGTGAGCCAAAGCCACACAGACCCAGGGCCAGTTATACTGGCTGGACTGATGTGTCATAACTTGTTAAACTGCAAGTATGGCTTGCTTTTCCCTGCTGTGTCAGGAGGAGGCACAGGAGCAACCTCCCATCAGCAAGGAGAGTGAGAACCCCAACAGCTCCAATGGGGGAAGCATTTTCGGCTATAGTTCTCTGGTAGCATCAGGCCTGAACTGAATATTGAGTCCAGCTGAGTGCCTAACTCCTTGGGCATGGCTGTTTTCTTGTGCCTCTCCAGTGGGGTCCAGCCCATTTGCTATAGACTTCTGTTACTCCACTTTCAGTCATAAAATCTCTTTTCCCCTGAAGGAAATGAGATATTTGCTCCCTCAAAACTTCAGGGAGTGAAATAAAAGCTGAAGAGGTGAAAGGGAAAGGGGAAGAGGAGGACAGAGAGAATGGGTATGAGAGGACACCGGAAAGAAAGCGTGGGGAACCAGGGAGATGTGGTGTGATTCAGAGGTTTTGATCCCTGTGGTGTGTAGATGAGATGTGAAGAGGTCTAGGCAGGATGAAGAACTTGCCCCTTTTCCCCTGACACCTACCTGGTGCCTTAAGATGAGCACTCACAGAGATGGGCTCTGCCAGGGCCAAGTGTGAAACAAGGCAGCTGTAGGTGGCTGGTGTCTGTACTGGGGCTGAGCTGATGCTAAGGTAGGAGGTGACGCCGTAGGTGCCATCTCAGCTTTGCCAGTGGCTGGCGAAACATGCATTTGAGAGAGGAATTTTTGCATTGTTGCAGGTCAGAATAGTCATTACATATCTCTCAAATGACAGCACTGCTGGAATGACATGAACGCTTGGAGGCTCTGGAGGAGATAAGCAGATCTATTGATAGCCGAATACAAAAGTCTGTCCACAAGGAAAAGAAGGTGAGCTGCCTCTGACAGTTGAACGTTGGGAGCGATGGGATAGGGTGCAGGGCAAAATTTCAGTGCCTGGGGACATGGGACTCCTGTTGCCCCCAGGCACTTCCATTCCTCCCTGGCCATATGCAGCTGGATGATGTGCTGGGCCTGGTGCAGCAGGGTGGACACCAAACTGCTGTACATCCCTCATCTCCCATGCTCACTTCTTGTAGTCTAAGTGATACCCCAACCACATGGATTTTTGGCCACCTGATAGCCAGCAATGTTCCCTCCTTACTCATAGGAATGCTCTTCTTGTCCCAACTGCCACAGTGGGGTCCTCTAAGCAGCAGGGTGATGCTGATCCCACTGGAGAGCCACAGAGTGTCCGTGAACCAGGAGGTACAGCAGGGTGCCTCACTAGCTCGCTGGAAGCCGAGTGTGGGGATCTCAGAGTTCACCTCCCCCCATCACAGTCCACGTGCATCAGGGACTCTGTATGTGGGGTGGATACTGGCAATGGATCCTCCTCACCCCGCACTACTCTCCTCTGGAAGCAACATTCACCTTTGGGAAGGGGTTGTGGGTGCAGGAGAAGCCCTGGCCTGGCTGGCGGGGCTGGCAGCAGTTTCACTTTCACTCTGGCAAAGCTGAAGGGAAAAAAAACCCCAACACTTAAACCTGTTCACTCTTTCTGTACCAAGCAGGGGATCCTGGAGGCATAAGGGAAGTGGGGCACAACCAGCTGGGGTCGAGGAGTGCCCCTCCCCAACCTGTGACTGGGAAGTTTTTGCTGGGTTCTTCTTTAAGTCAATATTTTATCAGCCTTTCCCATCACACTTCTGCATGTGAGGTCATCTCCTCTGGCCCCACTGAGCAGCCTCTGGAATCAGTCACCTTTCTGCCTACTTGCTTTTTAGAATACTTTGTGAAAGACTTGGAAGTTGAAGCTGGTTTCTTTCTTTCCCCCCACAGCTCCCCCACCCCCAAAAACCTTCTTCAGCTGGAAAGAACTCTGCAGTGGAATGAGCCAGCTCCCCTTCAGCTCAGCAGGTGTGTAGTGCTGCCACCAGTTGCCAATTCAGCCCCGGCTTTGCAGGAAAAAACATCATGGGGAAAAAGCCTAGCTGCAAGAAAGGGAATGGATGAGCTCTGATGGTATTTTAGCTACTGCCTTTTCCCTGTCTTTCAAACACATGGAGAGAAGATGGCTGCTTCTCTGCTGATCTGTTTCCTCTCCTCACAGTAACACAACTCACCCTTGCTGTGGCTAGCTAAAATTGTGCATACACACCCGCAGGAAACCACGATAACGCCCAGCCACAGCTCTCCCAGTACAACCTCCTGACATCCAGCTTGTGCTGGCCAGACATGGGTTTTTGATACAGACTTACCCTTTGCATCCCAGTCCTATTCTCACCACGTCAGTCCTTCTTGGAAAAGCCTCACAAGGAATATTAATTCTTCCTGCAGAAGTTATGCTCAGGAGTCCTGAGCTGTCAGATGTGGCCAGCTGCTCTGACTAGCTCTCCGGCTGCCACTCCAGGGTAAGATCACACACCTAAGAGCACACCCTGTGAGCCCTTGCCTTCCCCTTCAGTCTGAGTCTGATGATCTCTGTTCCCCTGGACCTTCATGTGGCATTATCCATGCTCTCAGAAGGTACCCACATACTCAACTCAGCCAATGAAGCAGAGCTCAAGCATCTGTGCAACTCCTTCACCCCAGGCAAATGCATCAGCTGTGCCTGCAACGGGAAGGCTCCTTTCTCTCATTTGTTTATCTACCTGCTCCAGTAGAGCCCAAACTGCATTTCAGCAGCAGGTTTGCCCATTAGCTGTGTGTGCTGAGGGCTGGGGCAGGTCTGCAGCCCGTGCTGCAGCTGTGAAACGAGTTGTGGTTTGCTGCCTGCAGAGAGGCTCTGACACAGCAGTTGTGATGGACTTTGTTTTGCAGGGCTGTAAGCCACTCTTGGCAGTTCTCTGTAATCAAATCCCGCCACATGCCTACTAAAGCTGGGACTCTCTTGCAGTCTCCAGAGCTGCAATCCATTGTATGCTGGGTCAGTCTGGCTATAAGGAACAGCTCTGGTGAAAAGTTGTGCAGCTTACCAAGCTAGCTAGTAACTATAGCTTTACCATATAGGTGTCATGTTCAAGAGAGCCATTCAATGGTGCTATAGCTGCTGGGAGAGGGCTGTGCATCTGTTTTCCTACTCAGGGAGATGAAAACCAGTTAAATGACTATGTGATGACAGATAAGGAGGCATCAATGAGCAGAGGCCTAGACAACAAGGGGAAAGAATATACTCATTGTGATGAGAAAAGCAGCAGCAGCCAATACTGGCAGCCAAAGGACAATCTAGTTCAGCAGGTGAGGCCAGAGTGGCAGATGCCTGTATACTACAGGGAATCTCAGGTGATGCTGTGGAATCAGAGAAGTGATGGTGGGAGCAGGCCTCCAGAGATCTCTGATTCAGCCTCTGGCTCAATCAGGTCACCATGATTTTGTCCAACCAAGTCTGGAAACCCTCCAAGGGTGGAGATATTACCACCTTTCTGAGGACCTGTTCCAGTGCTGCTTTTCTACTCTTCTGGTAAAAAAGTAATTCCTAAAGTTCAACCTGAACCTACCAGACCTTAACTTGTCGCCATTGCCCCTTGTTATATCACCTACTACTACTGACAAAACTTTGGCTCCATTGTCTTTGTAACTACCTTCCAGATACTAGTAGGAAATAATATGCAGCGTAAATTAGCTATCATGCAAGTACAAGGAATATGGTGAATAACAGTCATCACTGGTATTAAAAATTCTGCTGTTCTGGAGTGGTAGAAAGGAAAACAAAAATAGTGCATTAGTCTCACATGAATGATATTACAGCTTGCCTAGATAAAACTCAGAAAGTTAAAAGAGCTTTTCTCTGGTGCAGCTCAGTGTCAGCCATGAACTGCTCAAGTTCATACCTGGATATGTACGGAGAGAGCTAATATTAAAGGAGATAAACCCCAGTAAGAACTGTGCTGCCATGGAGAAACTAACTTCAGAGTTATGAACATTATGATAATCTCTCATGATCATAATGGGCCTCAGGCCTATGATTCTGAACATGACATGACAAATTCCTTCACAAAAGCATCACTGAACCTACAAAAGATTTGTTAGTTGTAAATAGCAATTAAGTCATAGAGCAGGTGGTCATCAAAAATAAATTTGGAGTGTGTGATCATAATTTCCTTACGTATAAATTCAGTGGGAAGCTAAATAAGAATAGGCCTGCACTGCATATGCATGTTTTGTTTCAAAAGAAATTAAACCCCAAGGAATTAAGACTCTATAGCATGGACTGCAGCAGTAAGGAAACTGTATGTGAAAGATGCCCAGAATTTTTGAGAGGAATGCACAATGTTTCTGGAATGTGCACCCTAAGTAAAGAAGCAAAAAACCCTCTGTAGCTACGTTGATGAACAGCCACAAAAGTGAAGGGAAAGGAGAAAACTTTTCTTCAAATGTTTGTAGATATAATGTAACATCAATCTGGAATATGGATTTTTAAAAGAAAAGAAAGTTTTTCATCTAAGTAACTATACCAGGAAGGAGAAAGTGACTGCAAAGAAGATGGGGTCAAAACTAAATAATTATTTTGTCAAAATTAAATAAATATAGTCTTCAACCAGGAAAATGATAGCAAAGAGTGGATCAGAGGAAAGGACAGTAATGAATATGAGGGTACAGGAACTACCATATATGATTTAAAGGCAAAGCATACATTAATGTGATGAAACTAAGAAAACAAGCTAAGACTTGAATTTTAATGGATTTTTTTTTAAACCATAATAAATTTATTCTTAAGAAAGCAACAAGGAGTTACAGAGTTTTGCAAAATAATAGGCACTGCTTAAACTTCGCCTCATCTGTGCTCAGTTTTGGGTGTTGGAAGCCTGGTAAAAAAATTCTTCCTTCAAACCAGACTTAGGATGCATGTCAGTAGGTGACCTGCCCTTTCACCCCTTAAAAATTATCATCTGCCCCATGTTACTGTATAGCACTGACTGGGAATTTCCAGACCTTTTCTCAAGGAGAAGTGCTTATCCAGGAAATCTCTTGTTTTGGCAGCATACAGCAATATCAGCACTGATAACTCTGTGATTTTAGTGAGGCCTCTCAGCTCATGTTTCAGTGATCTGCTGGCTGAATACTCTAACCTAGAACAGAGGCTGTGCCACAGAGTGAGGTCCACTGTATAAATTACAATTCAAAACACAATCTGCATTTCACTGAGTTCACGAGGCTCATCCAAATATCTTGTCAGTAGAAACCAAACAAAATAAAATAAAATATAAAATCTCCATTCCCCTTATGTCTCTGCTCTCCTAAACATCACTCTTATCCTCCGAGTGTGTGTTGAATTGCACTGTTTCCTCCTAAATCATTTGCAGCTCCATCACCTCTTCCATATCCCACTTCCCTTCATTCCTGTGCCCTTTTACCTGTCTCTGCTTGCCTCTTCTCATAACACCTACAATCAGGCAGGTCTCCTCTATCCAAACCCATTACCTTTTCTGTTTCCTGTCTTCTGTTGTCATGACTGGTTTTGCTCTACTCTGACATTTCTGATTTCCATGGCACCATAATTTCACTTCCCATTTTTCCAGTGAGAGAAAATGCTGCAAAACATGTCAGCCTGGAGTGTGTAGAGTATTGCTCTTGCCCTTCACAAGACTTGTGAGCAGCACAAGCAAGATCAAAGTCATGAAGATCCAGAATGTGGGGTCTGGACCAAAAGCAGCTTATATGCTTTGCTGGACTTGGATCCCGTTTTCCAGTTCAGATCCCTCCACAGCAATAGACCTATTTCGAAAAACACTAAATGCTCTGTTTCTCTTAATCAAATTCCTCAAGCTGAAATTCAGGAAGAGTTTTATCAGCCAAATTACAAACTTAAAATAGGAGCTAAGGACTTGCTGAACCCAAAATGAAGCATCTTACCTTTTAAATAAGCCAGCATTGTTCTTACCAAGGTAAACAGGACAGGCAAATTAATTTCCTTGCAGCTCCTAAAGCTTCTGCTGACTCTGCCAATGGATAGGACCATCAACACTGATCTAGCTTTGCATGCACCCTCAGATTAATAAAACTGCATCCAACACCAGCCCACAGCTCTCTGCTAGTGGTAAATGCGAGATGAAGTGAGAAGCTGACATTGGCCAGGTGGGTACACAGCAGTATAAGGGTGATCTCCACTTCTTTGTACAGCTTTGCCTATTCCAGGGTCAGGTTAACCAGAATAACCTGAAGATGATTGTGGATTTTCAGCTTTCACTTGATGTGCTAAAGGTTAGTTAGCCAAATTTATAGTTTACAGAAGTATACCTATATATTCACAGGGAAAAACGTGTTTCTTTCTGTGTGAATTAACATCCTCTGTCACTCCAGTGTATCCTATAGCAGTACCAGAAGGAAAATGATCCAGTCTCCTAGATGTTCCATGTACACCCTGGCTGACCCCAAGAGACAGAGGTTGTGACATTCCTATCTCTGAACTCCTCCCTGAACCATCATATTTGCAAAGGTTGTGCCCTCCTTGTAGTCTGACTTGGGCACCTCCTGCATAGGGAAGAAGCAGAATCAGTGGCAATAAAGTTGGAACTGAAGTCATGCCATCTCCAGGAGCAGGGAGGTACAAGAACAAAACCCTCTGGAATTGACAGAAGAAGGTCAGGAGTGGAATAGAAGCGGTGCTTATGACACTGACAGTAAAGGTAAAAAGAGCCCAATTCATACCTAACATAAACCACAATATCAGGGCAGCCAGGGGCAGCCACACCAGTTCACAGCATCCAAGTGGCTGATCATGTGAAAGATTGCTCATAGACTGAAATTTTTCATGGTCTCTTGTACAACCTCGAACACTGACTTACTCTGAGATCCTATTATTTTTTCTTCTTCTTCCCAAATTATCCATAATCTTAATCTTGACTTCATTTTCAAGTACGTGGCACAAATACTGACACTCATGTGTAAAGCTTTATGAGACTTTCCAGAAGGGATCTCAAGGGACAGAAAACAGGGTAACATTAAAAAAAAAAAAAGGAACTGCTGCTACTTCTGCTCCTGAGACCAATCCACTGTCCCCACAACTCAGACAATATGCCCCTGAGTGCGTGTGTCTGGAGAAGAAAAACATCCTCGAATGGTTAAAAATCTCACAGGGACCACTTAAGCTGTAAGTGTATACAAGGACTAGCTGCACTCAGCATGGTTTCAGTCACCACGCAATTCGTGCCTTTGATTACCAAGCACTCAGCTCAGGTTCATCAGCAACCTCTGTGGGTAAGAGAGGGCTCCTTCTTGCATAGCCGACTCATCCCAGATGCACCAAGACCAGGGATGGCAAGCGTGGCGTGTGCCCATCCACCTGAGCCAGTTTTCACTTGGCCAGCCCAGGTGAGGAGAGCAGTGGTCCAAGCCAGCAGATATCCCAGCTCCCAGCGAGGTTCTTCTGCCTGAGACAGTAAGATGAAAGTCAGATCTCATGTCCTGAACTTGCACTTCTGGCTACAAACCAGAAGAAAGGGGTGTGAGTCAGCGCCGCTGTGGCTGTGCAGCTGTTGTTAAGCTGTTGAAAAAGTTCATGGCCATTTCAGAGGAATCCCACCTACCACCACACCTATGGCATTTCTCTCTAGTGCCACTGAAATCAGTTTAAATAGTGTAATGAGACAGACACTGCTGGTAACATGCCTGCTTTCTCTCATCTGTTGCCTCAACAAACCCATTCTGTTTTTAAGTTAGTGTATTTATTAAAAAATAAACCAAATCTTAACCACTCTTCTGCTCTGTAAAGCAAGCATTATCTGTACTGTTACTGAATGGGTTGCTGAATGTCTCTTCTTTTACGGAAAAGAATAGTATTTCTTTGACATATGGTTTACAATTGCTTACAATTGGAATTTGCAACTTACAACTGCAAAATAGCAAATTCCTCAGTTCTCACTGGAGTTCTAAAAAATTCCCTTAATTTTGGCGTGTCCTTTTCTTTTGCCCATGCCTCAGAACAGGTTACAAGTCCCTAGGTCTGGCAGGCAGAAGGGCATCTATCTGTGCTCCTAGAGCACGGCTTTACAGATGGAAACAAGGTGTTCCAGACCTAGTCAAGCCAAGTACATTAACCGCTCTTGCTTCTCTCAGGCACATGGTACAAGAGCAGCAGCCTACCTTCGAGGTTACAAAGATGCTGTTTTCAAACAAGATCCCTATTGCTTTCTTCAAGATGCTGTATTAAGCAAGGAACAGAAACATAAACAGAAAGCATGTGATGTTAGTGAGCAGTGGATGACATTTCAACAATTAAATTAACGCAGGAAAAAAAAAAGCAGGATATTTCAAACACAGCTAGGGAGACGAAAAGTTTTGTACATCCAAAGGAAAGTTGGAAGCAACAGTCTTTACACTTGAATTCCCAAATCTTTATCTGAAGATGCCTGAAGGGAGCATGGCAGAGGGCAAGCAGGTTGTTCAGACTCTGTGCTTGAAAGTAGAAACCAAAGTCTTTCGAGTCTGTTCTCGAGATTCAGACATGCCCGTCAGCAGCACGGGGTCCGTCCTGTGCTCCACTTGGTAGAAGGGACAATTCTTCAAGTGTTCTGACATGCACATGACATCACTGCGCTGCCATTTGTGAACTCTGGAGAAGAGGCTGCTGAACTGCCAGATCTAATATGGGAAAGGGAAAGAAATTGGGGAGAGAAAATGGGGATGGTGGTAAAAACAGAAGCAGATTTTAATTATCTATACATGCTCACAGTGGGTGTGCATTACTCATACTGGACAGGCTAGTGAACATCTGATTGTGCAGGCCTGGCATAAACAAACATGGGGTCTGTATTGTTATGTACCTCATAGTTGCTGGTTTTTTCTGCTTTAGTCATCACCTGCCATTTTTAATGGGGAAGTCACTGACATCATGATTTTCATGGTGTCAATCCAGTGCAGAGCAGGAGGAAATCGAGGACACCTGACCACTGCACCTCTACAGAAAACTCCATCACATGTGTGGTGTGATCCAAGATGTTTATAAAGCAAAGTGACCGCAGCATGCTTATGTGATATGTGTCTCAAAGAAACCTGACAATATAAAGACCTTCCAAAGCACCTATTGGCAACTACAAAGCAATTACCATTACAACACTGTTATTATTCACCCCACTCCAGAAAACTCTGGGAAATATAAGGTTAAAGTTATTACTAGAGGACATACAAACTTGTAGAAAATAGAAATGTGCAGTTCAACTTGTTTGAACTTGTTTGCAGTGATACCATGCACCACTTAGTGATATACTAGCATGTAGTGATACGACCATGATTAAGCGACTTTAATATTTGCTGTATACCATTAAATCAAATTAATTTTTAAAGATTTCTTCTCCATAAAAATGTTTCTTCCTCAGGAAGAAGGATAATATGTGGACGTGCCATGCTGAAGATTGCCTGACCCTGCCCTAGTTCTAAGTAATAATAGCTATGATACACAGTAGTCAAGAAATTTGGAATTACAAACAATGTTTTTAAGCAGAGTCTGTGCATTGGAAACAAGATTACTGTGTGGTCAGTACAGACAGCTAACATGAAAAGGGTTAGAGAGTCCTTAAATTCAATGCTGCTGGTTTGAAATTGTACTACAATAACTGAAGTTACTTGCTCTATGATTGGGTGGCTAGAATGTCTTCCTTTTACTGAAGGAAGCCACATCCTCCAGTAAATTATTTCAGTGGCTAATTCCTGGTTTGGATTGGGCTAATTCAACTTGCAGCCACCAACACTTCGTTACACAGATTTTTGAACTCACCATGCTTCATGTTTTCTCTTAAAAGAGAGTACTTTATCTTAATAAGAAGTCATGAACTGCTACGCTTCCATTTGATAAGAATCAAGAATTAGAGATCTACAGGGCTCTGCTTGAAAGCCAGGTCCTTAGATAATTTCTGGGAGTCTCTCCGGGATCTCTAAATTCTTATTCCTAGATCTCTGTCTTGTCTGCTTGGTCAGGCTGAAGTGCGTCATGCTACTCTTTCAGTTTTATGTGATGGTGGACTTGGCAGTGTTAGGTTAATGGCTGGACTCAATGATCTCAGAGGTCTTTTCCAACTTAAATGTTCCTATCACTATACGATTTGATGTTAGAACAGCCGCAAGGCTATCAGCTAGAAAAAAACCCCTGTAATAACTAATGTTCAACTAGGACTTAGACTGAGTTGTGTTTATGAATTTCTTCCTAAACAACCTAAACAGCCAATAAGGGTAGCAATTTTCCACTACAAACAGTGGGAGACCAGCTTTGCAGAAGGTGGTTTCCTACACCTATGCTCCTCCCTCACTCATGGTAATCTATAAACAACTAACCAAACCTTGGGGCTTGATGTGAATGCCTGAGCCCCTTTCTCAGCCATCTCTCCTTGTTCTTTACCTTTTTGGCATTCTAAAGCATTTTGACATACCTAGATTGACTTGTAAAGAATAAAAAAAGTATGAACATGAAGTTCTTCCAAAATCCATGGGTAATGCTTAAATATCAGGAATTCTTAGTTCCCAGTGCCTAAAAATGGTGCACATGCAAATGGGTTACTCAAGACAAGCTTGGGTGGGGACTTTCTGCCAGTCAGAAGATGTCTAGTTACACCTTCCTGCCTTTGCTAGATGTGCTGCACTTTCCAGCCCTGACCCCTGACAACAAACCCTTGTGCAAATTCACAACCTCATGAACCTTCCCCACATCTGCATGCTTATCTGCAGCTTTTCTCGCTATTCTTATGTTTATCTGATGAGAACTCTCGTCTTTTTTTCCCAGTGTCACAGTCACTTGCCTTTTTGCGAGCTCTCCACGAAGTACCACCATGGGAATATCTTTTTTTCTCCCAGACCAGCAGGACCATTCCCCTCTCTTGAAGAAGAGTGGCACAGATGTCCCTCATGAGCACTGACACTTGTGATAGTTGAGATAAACTGAAGCTGTCCAGAAATCCCGCAATGTACTTGAGCACTTCCACTGGGAGGCTGCTCAGCAAGTCCTTACTTCTTCCTCGACGATCCACTGTGAAATTGCACTTTCCTGGTTCAGCAAGAAGGGTGTCCACCTCTGGCTTAATAGCAAATGTCTTGAGAGGCTTGCTGTATATAACCTTGGCCTTAAGTCCATCAGGGCGGAAGTGATTTTGAACAAAAGGACATCCCAGGTAGGCCAGTGGGCAGCGATGCTGGAACCATCCATCCAGACATGACTGGATATCCGCGTGCACATTCTTGAAGTGGGATGGGAACTCATCTCTCCTGAAGAAATGACTGCAAGTGAACGTGAAAGCCGAACTGCTTTTGTTGTGTCTTCTGGTTACGCAATCAGTGTAGAGCTCCATGTGGAGTTCTTGTGGGCTTTTTTCATCCAGAACATCTGCTAGAACAGCATTGGAGGAGAAGGGCTCCAAAGAAAAGCTGTATGTCTGTGTTGCAAAATCCACAAAGAGTCCATCGATACCCCTTGCTTCAGAGATCTCATGGCCTTTCAGCTCTTTTTCCAGAGCACACAGCAGTGTGGCTTCAACTATATTTGTCTTAGGTAGTTCTTCTATGTTTATTCCCAGTTCCGAGGTATCCACTGACTTGTCTGAAGTTGGCATCTTGTGGCCCAGTGCATCTCCTAGTCGTGCTCTTTTGCCACAGTAACTAACTGGCACTTTGAAGGTGTAGACAGTCTTCACCTCCTGGGCTTCCAAGTTCCCATAGACAAAGTCTTTTTCTTTGGGAGTGCAAGCAGCCATCTGGCCAAAGCGGATGAGCATTCCACCATGATGTACCAAATACATGTTGTAATCACCTACACCAACTTCCTTCTTCAGCCTCTCCAGGACCCCGTCTTGCCAGGGAGCCATTCCTTTCAGTTCTCTACCCGGTGTTACTTGTTCAGGCTTTCGGTCCTTTGCCTCCTCTGCATCATCAGGTCCTTCCTTTGCCTTCTCTGTGGAGCTGGCAGCATGAGAGGCTGGTGCTGTCTTCTTGGAAGCCTCCTCTGTCTTTTGTCCTGTGCTGGCTGCTGAGCCCGCAACCTGGCAAGCCAGGAGATCTTTGCTGAAAATGTTCTCCCAGGTTTTGTAACTTCCCAGGTCCATTCCCTCTTTGTCCTTTACCAGATCTTCACGCTCACGTTGGCTGAGCTCCGGCAACTGGTCTTTGCCCTCTTGGGAACCACAGGCGACTCCCCCCACAGCACCTGCTTCACCACCCGTGGCTTCATCCAAAAGCTCTTCCACTTCATCCTTTTTCCTCCACTCTGGAAACAATTCGGCTATTTTCAAAGTCCTGAAAAGTACCTTCTGGTCTCTGAGTGCCAAGGCTGTGTCCAGACACTCTTCATTTAAGGTCTCCTTCATAATATTCTTGTGGAGGGTGGTGTCTGAATCCACGTTTGGCCAGCGATTCCACTCCATCGAGCAGCAGACAACACTGGCTGGACAGACCTGGAGGTGCTTCCCCAGCTTAAAGCGGGCCATGGAAAAAGGGCAGCCATAAGCTGAGTTGAGGCAGGAGACCTGCTCTAAGGGACAGAGCAACTGGTGCTCCTCCTCCTTGCACATGTGGAAGGTGGCCCCGCAGTGAAGGCGGCAGCTGATCACCACGCAGGAGACGGAGATCTCAACTGGTGCGCGGCAGTGCCGGCTGAAACATCTCTCACAGTGTCTGTGCTGCCCAGGGGGAGCTTTCTGGGCCCGGTGCTGTGTGTAGCAAAGACAAGACAAGAGTTATTACCTGAAGGAGCAAAGATGGCCACAGACCCTCCGTGCTCGTCCTTAGTTCCTACACATTAGGTGCTCACATGCACTCCTAGCAGGAATAAGGTTGTGGGCAAATGACTGCCAGCTCTGTACAGTCACATATCAGCTCTGATCCCCACAGTACCGTGTGGCCTGGTAGCAGCACAGATATAGATAAGGTCCTTACTTGTTAGCCCAAGCAGCCAGGGTTTGGGAGCGAGTGGTTTTCTATCCCAGTATTTACACTGGGTCTTTCTAAACCAAGCTGCTGAAATCAAGATTGCCAGAGGCACAGTGAAGGAGCGTTCCACTTCCTCAACATTGAGTAGGAAAAATTACATTCCTTTTTCCTCTCTCCCACAAAAACATGAATGTTGCACAAATGAACCTCCCTTTGCTCTACACCAGCAAGGTTGAAAGTGAGAATTATCTTCAGGATACCAGTTCCCAGTGCGGAAAACAGCCTGGGTAAACGCTAATTTGCCTAGGCTTATTCACTCTGCTTTCCTGGTTTACCTTCATGCCCCTTGATGATGCCTGCATGTTGTGGAACAGAGACTTCAGGGAACTTTCCTTCAAGCACGTTATTTGCTACTTCTACTTTATTCAAAACCTGGAATAAAGTGATGCCTTGGTGTGAGTTCTGGAGTGAAGCTCCAGAGTGTAATGGAGGCTTGTTGCAAGGTTATACTCACTCCAATAAATCCATTTTCTTTTTTTTTTTTTTACAAACTGTCTTTCACCTTTCTTCCCTTTGCTGCCACCAGTGAATGCTGATAGGAGGAAGGAGAAGATGGCAGGTATGGTTTATTCCATGCTCCTCTCCATACCACCCTGTGCAGATAGGGCAAATGGGGAGCGACAAAGGTCTAATCTTGACAGGGCTTTTCCCTTCATATGACGGTGCAGGGGAGGCCAGCCTGCTCATGTCTTTCACATGGTGTCTCTTTGAGAAAGAATCCATTTTTCTCCCTTCGGGATTTGTTTTAGATCATGATCATATAAAAACTGGTCACCACTGCTCTGCTTTCTCTAGTTCACCTTATGTACTTCTGACAAGTCAGTGTCAAACACTGCCTGGTACTTAATAGGTGACCCTAAGCTGATCACATTTTAGATCCATTTTATGAGGGTGTTAGTGACACCACAAGGGCCAGAAAACAGAAAAAGAGGTCCCAGGCAACAAGAATAAATAATACTAGTCTCTGTTTCATAAATTCAGCTGCCACCAGGCAGCTCCATGAATTTAAAATTTGCAACCAACAGACTGGATTAAAAGAACAAGTTGATGTGCCAAACCAAATGTTTCAGAAATTTAAACGAGTTTATTATATAATTAATATATGTTATATATATTATTTACATGTATTAATTAAATGTTGTCTTAAGGAAGACTGAATTTCTGTTCTCACACTTCCATAATAATGTGGCTTCAAGTATAATTTTTTTCTCTCCTCCCCTTAAAAACCTTTTCCTGATGTCCAACAGCAAAAAGCAGAAGTAAAAGAACATGATAAAAGGTTATCACTACCAGATTACTATGTTTGTGTCACAATGAACCACTGGCTTCAGTTTAATTATTGCATTTCTCATTCTTCCCCAGTCAATTAAATCAGTTTAATGTAAAAATAATGCACTTACAAGACCTCCTTCAAAAAGATCTCAGTTCCCCTTGCTCATAATATATCTACTCTTGCAATAATTCCAGATAATAGCTGTTAATCCTTCCTACAAATGGAAGAACAGTCCAACAGTCCAGCACAGTCCAACAGTAAGTGAATGGAGATGGTGGTTATCATGAGGCATGCCTCCTGATGTACAAAATTCAAGAAGATATGAAATGAAAATCTGGGTCAAACCAGAGGTCCATCCAGCCCTGAAGTTTTCTTCAACAATGTCTGTAAGAGATGTTGTTTAGGGGGTCCTTTCCCCTCACACACAGTTGTTGGATTATAGAACTAGAGGCTGCTCAGTCACTGCTTAGAGTACTTCCCTGGATATCTTCAACAGGGTATTAGTAACTTGGCCCAAAGAAGAGCAGCTGCAAGCAGCAAACTCCCGACTTCTAACCTCCTGCTCCTTGCTGTAAGGGCTGCATTCCAGCTTGATTCAGCCCCCCGTGAGTCTTTGTGGAAGCAGAAAAGCTAATTATAAGGAGGAACTGGAGTTCTGTTTTCAAATAGGACAGAGGGTGCTGTTCTTTCTTTGTGAAAATGGGAAAAAGATTTTTGACAAGTCTTCCCACCACATCTTCTATGCAGTAGGAACTACTATAGGCCCAATAGACTCTTGTTTGGCTCTGAGAAAAAACAGATATTTGTAGCAAAATAATTAAGACTTTGGGTTCTTTTCAGCTAAGATTAAAGAGAACACAGTAGTGTTTACCTAGGTGTGAGTGCTTTTGCAACCCCAGGCTTAAGTGACCTAGCCCTTAGGAGAGCTGTGCTGCAGAGGAGATGGGCTCAGGCTCAAGGAGAAGAGATGCTATGTGAAGCTGCTCCTCCTCTTTCATGAAAGTACTGTCTTAACTTGCTGTCTTTCACACTTTCACACCCTGGCAATGGAAGTCACAAAAACACTGGAGAAGGACAGATGTCTGGTAAAGGCAATGCTCCTGGGATCCTGCACTAAAGACCACACACTCGTGTTTGAATTTGACTTGTATTAATTGCTCAACACAACTTTGTTCCATCTTTTGCAATTTCCAGTGCTGATCAATGTCTGCTTACAGCTCCTAGTGAATCAACCCTATTCCCTCTTGGCCCTGCAGGATAAAGGAACACACCCTTGGTGGTCCCTTTACTCAGAGACTTACACTCTGAAGTATAAGGCTCAGGTACCTTCACCTTTGCATGGAAAGAGCTCCAGACAGTGATGCAGAAAACAGTATTTTGTAACTGCCCATTATAACATCCCTGCCCTGTCTTGGGAAGCACTGGCTTCTGCACAGGGGTGACACCAGAGTGTAGGCCAGGGTGGCCTCAGCCACATCCAACCCTTAAATACACGTGGTTCAGGGTGGCATCTGTCCTGATTTAGGCTGTTTGTTACACCTACATTTATGTGGCTCAGAGAAGCAGGAGACACAGATAGATTTATTTCATATTGGCAGCATCCTTGCTGCTCTCATTCTTGTAGCATTTTGCTGCAAATATAATCTCTAAAAATAGTCCCAGTCATGACTTGCATAAGGTCAGAGGAAGGCTGGCTACATTACACCGCAATAAAAACACGAATGTATTGTGTGAACAATACTTTCCACTGCAAAAGTAACTCTTGGGGAGAAATAACTGATAAATAAAACTACATCAAAGGTACAGGCCTTATTGTTCTCCAAAACACAGAAAGGACTGATTGCAAAGTTTCTGGAGAGGAGCCTGCTTTCACATTGCTGTATGCTGAAAGAAACCCCTTCTGAATCACATGTAGAGAAAGAAAATACATGCTTTGTTTATGAAAAGTGACTATATCAGAGCATTCAGATGCAGAGTCAGTCTTCGTCATTATTCAGGTATTTTTTTAACTGAGTTTACCTCATCTCTAACTTGCATATGCTGTTCTTTTCAGACAAAATATGTCTATGTCTCTCTTCTCATAGTTAAATCTGTGAAGCTAGAGGACAGGAGGAAGGGACAGAGAATTTTTTCCTGATATTTATCAGGGTTTGAATGCTGCTTCTATTCTGACATGCCGATAATCAGGAGCTTTGTATTTTAATTGATGATCTAGTTAGCTCTGTGATTTAGTTGATGGTATTAGTGTCAGCACACAAACTACAACTTTCAGAACCCTCATCAGAAAGTTTACAAATTTTTTCCTCAGTAAGTTTGATACATAACATCCAGAGGCAGGTGACACACAGATATGTAAGGTGATGAAACGTTTCTCTAAAGATGTACACTTCTTGTTTCCCTGCAACTTGCAAAATCTTTTAAGATCTGGGTTAGAAAAAATATAGCAAACCAGAAATGCTAGCTTCAATCATGTTCAAGCTACTGTGCAAGAAAGGATGCAAATTACAGTCCACAGTCTGTCCACTTTGGTAAATCTTTATTTTTAGACTGTCAAGACAGCAAATCAAGTAAGGCTTAAAAATATACAGCTGCTATTTTAACTGCAGCTATGTTTGTGTCTGGAGCAGATCTGTTCAGTGACAATAACTTAGTTTATAAACCAATTACGATTTGTTTTCAGGAAATAAACATTTAATTCAGTTGCAGTCAATTAGCCAAAATAATACAAGTGTTTTATTATTTGGTATGTGCTATATGTGACTGATCATTTGACATACTAAGGTCATACATCTTACCTGAGCTTTTTGCACAGAATCAAGGGATACCTCCCATTTTGAAGAAACATGAAAAAGGGCCACTCAGAAACCCCAGATAATGACCCTAATGAGTGCCTCTGAGATGAGATTGTGAACAAACTTAAAACAATCTTGTTAAATTTTACAACAGGATAATGAGCTCTTAAAAAATCTCAGGAAAATTTGCATCCAAATGCTGGAGCCAAGAATGATAAAGTTACATATAATGTTACAACAGAAGGAATGTGAATGCTTTTGTTGAATGTATAGGCAGATAGGTGATGTTCTCTATTTCTTTTAATCCTTGTTACCGAGTATATCATGTTTATCTCATTTTTATCATATTGAAATCTCGAGGTAAATAATTAATTAATAACAGAGTTATTCATTTTCTTACAGGGTTTTTCAGTATATTTAATATCTTAGATCTGAGTGGGTTCACAATCAATAAAGAATTTATCTTTGTAGTACTAGAGGTGCCCTTAAGGTTGAAAGATACTGTTGCTTCTATTTGGCAAATATACAAATAAACAATAGAAATATGAAAATAACTAATATTTTATATAAATTTATATAATATTATATATATATATATATAAAATATTTTATATAAATAACTATACATGCCAATCATGGAGATGTTCAGGTTCTGATGTTTCACTTGCAGCTGATGCATACTGCACAAAAACCCTGGCAGAGCCTGCTGCAGAATTACATTTTCTAGGACACCATCTAGGACACCATCTAGTTTAGGACACCTTAAACTAGACATTTTCCTTTTGTGCACCATTCTTCCTCAGTCACTACTTCTTAACAACCTGGGCAAGAAATCAGACTTGGGTCTCCTTTGCTAAACAGATACTTTTATTTTTTAGAGGATGAAAACACTATGATTTCACAGAATATTCTGAGTTGGAAGGGACTCACAAGGATCATTGAGTCCAACTCTTAAGTCATGGCCTATATGGGGATCAAACCCACAACCTTGGTGTTATCAGCACTATGCTCTAACCAACTGCACTGCCCATTGGAAACCATACTGTACTGCATTTGTACAGGAGCCTAAGTCCTCTTAAGTCCTGTTCTTTGATACAAAATAAAAAGCAAATCCAAGCATGCCACCACCTGGAATCGCAGTGACCTCTAAGTAAGTCAAACCCCACCCCTCAACACCGACAGCAGGGACAGCCTGGGTGACCGCCTTGGCATTAGGCACAGCAGGTCACTGTCCTTCTGGCACACCTGCTCTGCAGTTGCCATTTGGACTGATCTTGCACATACATGTTGCCAGCCAAGATTTAAATGAGTCAGGCAGAGAATATGGTACAGCTCAGGGTAGGTGGAAAGAGAGAATAAAAGGTATAGATGAAATTGTGATCAACAGTGTTAATAACCCTCTAGTGAGCATGAGCAAACCCTAGTTTTGAGGTGACCTTGAAAAAGTTCACATGGATTTTACAGAGGCATTTTGATTCCAGGGCAATCCTGGTGAACCTCAAATCCTCAGTATAAGACGTGAGGAGGGAAAAGGTTTTCCAGGAGACAACTGACCTGTTAGATAAACCCAAAGGTGGAAGAATGAAGCTGTGACAATTATGGAGATACTCCCTCTATTTTTTAGCTGGGGATCATCTGGCTGAGGCTGTGGTGTTTCATGACAATAGCCATTAGTTCAGACTTACTGAACAGGTTGGAATTACTTTTTACTGAAAAAAACACTTTAAAATTTCAAGGATGGAGTAAGTCCACAGTATAGTCCATCAGTTGGGCAAAGTCTTCAACCTATGTTCCTTGCTTTTCTTCCAGAGCACACCCGCTACTCAGGTTCTCACATCAACACATCACCTTCTCTTCAGCTCCCTAAACCTGACATGCAGGACCATGGAGCTCAAGAGAAGCTGTTACACCATCAGGCCTCCTCCCCACCTGGAAAATCTGTGCTGCACACAGGCACCAAAACTTGCTCGTGCAATTTCTGTTTGGTGAAATGCACCAGTGCTGGTACAGGAAAAACAGGGGAGAGTTTGGAGTAGTGAGGCACAGATAACACAGGGCACTGCTGGTGGAAACCTCACCCTGCACTCCCCACTGTGAGACCCGGATCAGCAATATTTCGTGCTCCTCCCTACTTGGTGCAATGTAGCCATAGCTCAGCTAAGACAAACCCACTCAAAAATTTCAGGTGCTGAAGTGGTCCCCTGAGCTGGTGGCATGGTGCAGGGTAGCCCAGAATCAGCATCTTGTGCTGGGCATGTTGGGGAGTCATGTGGGAGACAGACAGGACAGGAGGCTGTGACATGGAGCTGCTCTGCTGCTCCTTGGGCATGGGAGGGGGCCCTGTGCTGTCCTTGGTAGACACATGAGTCAGGCAAACTCTTACTTTGCATCAGTAAATGGGAAGTCAGTTTGGTCTTGGTTTGAGTTCAGCAAGTGCTTTAAAACAGTAAGTTCCAGTCTAGTTGCAGTTTGAGGGAAAAAAAGGAATGGTCCAAACCATGGGTTTTTCTCCTTTGGCTCAGGTTCTATTTTACACTCCAGTAACAATCTCATTAACATACTTTTCTGAAAACTTACTGAGACAATCTAGTGAATGGCTTTAAGCAAAACATAAGGCAGCCCAAGGCAGGTGCTCAGTTTAGAGAATTTCAGAGCTATTGGTTAAGGTCTAAGTCATAAAAAAAACATAAAAGAGATTCATGAATAAAAATTGTTAAGCAGCCACAAGACTAAATGGTACAGTAGTACCTGTAACCCCTGTAATTCTTACTTCACCATTCATTCAGTCTGGATTGCCAACATAAAGTTTGCAGTCTGAGTCTACAAAACTCATTAGATTTTAAGTCTGAGCATTTTTGCCACAAGATTGCTCTTGCGTTTCCCCTGACCCTTACTGTATCTCCCTGTCTTACTTCTCTTCAGAGTTTCCTGAAAATTACAGAGACTGAATTTTTGATTTATCATCTGACCCGCTGCTGAAGCTCCCATGTTACAATCAGCATCTTAGTTTTTAAAACCCTGGATACAGTACTGCAAACTACAGCTAATTCACTGAATATATTATGGAGGGTTTTTTTTTTAGAGTAGTATGTCACAAAAGTGCTCACAGTTACCAGCTGCCTCTGTTTTAGGGTGTCATTTAAGACATCTCATGGTTATTTTACTTCATCTGAATTACTAAGGCTGTTTTGAAAATGTCTTGATTTTCACAGCTCAATAGAGTAACCATTACACTGCATAAGGTCTGTCCAGTAAAAACTCCAACTCTATTTAAAAAACCTTACCTTGATCATAGAGCCCCTGTGTGTGTACCAAACACTTGCTCTCCTGGTTGTGCTCAGCTGGGCTGAAGTGAGGTGGGTGAGGGAGAACTGCAAGCAAAGAAAGAGAAGAGAACAGAAGGACACGGAGCAAGCCCAGGCAGAAACATCAAGTAGTTTTGGGATGTTAAAAATAAAACCTGTGCATGTGACCATGTAGCTCAGCTTACAGAGCAGTCTCTTTCACTGTATTTGTTAACACTGTCAGTTCTGGAGTGGTATTTCACAGACAAGATGAGAGGCAGAAGCAATAATACTCTGTGCCCCCTGTATGAGAGGAGATCAAAACCCTTCCCAGAGCCGTGTATCAGCTCCTTGCTGCTCTCTGATGGTGGTTTTCCCTTCACAACTTAATTCCCCTTGGTGCTCACACCAGTTTGTGGTTTCTGCTGTTGGAATCGTCACCCCAGCTCCCATTTTCACCAGATTCAGCAGGTGGTGCAAACAGCAATGGTGGGTTTCCAATCTGTCCACCAAACAGGGTGGACAGAAAAGAGAGCAGGAACGTCCCAGAGCTGAGCAGTCAGGCAGATCTGCTTGCCCACCTCCTGGGGACCCCCAGGAGACTCCCCAGCTCATCCCTCCACTGCACAGGGAAAAGGTTCCACCAGCCACCAAGGGCAAGCCTCAGGGAACAGCTCCCAGTGTCACCCTTCTTCAGCCAAAGCTGGGGAAGCGAAGGAGCAAAGGAAAGCAGTCGTGTTTTACTGCCAGCATGGACCCACAAAAGCATTTCGTGGTGAGTTTTATGGTGAGCATTTCATACTGATAGTGAGTACAAACAGCTACTGCGTGTCAGTGAGGTTCAGGGGTGCAGATGGGGCAGGCACTGCTTCTCCCTGGTGGGTGCTCACCTCATCTGGCTGCAGACACCTCTTGTGACCCTGCTGCCATACGTGGCCACCTTTCATCACCTCAGAAACACAGAACCACCCCTTTTGGCTGTGGCGGCTCTGAGATCCTAAGTCCTGATGAACTTGTTACTTTGCCTTATCTTTCTCTTTCCCTATCTGTGATTCCCCAGTGACTCTCATAGTTTGAAACAGTCCAGGCAACTGTTTTCATTTTTAGGGCTGAACAAAATGTCAGTGGGTGACAACCAAGGCTTGCTGGTGCCAATCGCAATTTAGTAGTGCTAAATATGGTTAGCAGTCTGGCTCCGTGGCCTTTTTTAGAAAGGGCTGTATTATCGTGATACCATTTTCTGGCATCCCACTGCACTGTGGAAAATGAGAGCCTGTAGTAGTATGCCTAAACCCAAATTTCACCCAATCACAATGTGATTGCTGATCTGTTTCCCCTGTCCACTCCCACCCTCATCCCCCCAGTTCAGGGTCACTCATTAGCCTTCAATGTTGTTGTCATCTTTAGAGGCTGTGTTTAAAAACATGCTGGGGGTATGACTAGCTTTTGTGTGAAGTAAAATTCTTCTCAAAGTTCTGTATTACTGGTTTAGGAGTAAACGCCCTCCATTTGAATTAACCCAGATTACTAAAATACTCAGGACTTCAGAAGTTGTTGTCAGAAATGAAGCTACCTTCTGTCTTAATTTTACCAGCACCTGATGTCAGCCTGGTTTTAGATCTCTGTGTTTTCAGACAGTCTGAACTGGTGCTTTTTGCTCTTCCATGCATTGCTCAGTGATCACACAGACCCAGACAGTCTGGACCTGTCTCACTCTGCTTGGTACGCTGCCTCACAGCCACGTGCTAACACAAGCCCACAAGTTTTGCAAATCCTTCCCTGCAGGTGATGACTTTAATCAAAAAGGCACCATGTGTGGTGGTCTTTTAGGGCAGGGTATCACAAGACACGCAGAATGAACATAGTTCTCTGTGCCTGAAAATGTGTCCTTGGTAGAGAGAAGGGAGCAGAAGAGCAGAGAGACAGGAAACAGGAATTCATCCTTGTACCTGCAGCACACCATTGCATTAGCTTAGCTACACCTGAAAGCAGACTTTTATCAAAACAAGGAGACTTTGAAGATCTCTGCTGCCACCCTTACCTGTGCTAATTTGATTCAAGGTATCTCAGGAATGCCAACCAATACTGTAACCAGACCTCCTGCTGCAGTACAGATATGCTTAGGTAGGATGCAAGAAACATGAAATCTCTGAAAGAAAAGTGTAACTGTTATTTATTTTTTTGTGCAAATGTTTTGGGAGAAAACTGTTGCCTGTCTGCTTTAATCTATTTTATCTCAATTCTATGTGTAGAAATGCCATTCTTCTATGTGAAGCCCTATGAAATATACCTATGTACATGATATGGATATGTATGATATATACAAATATACACATCTACTGATATAGGAAAATTGGGTGATATCTGGTAGCCTGAGAGAGGTGAGGCCTCTGCAGCTCCATGCCCCCATGCAATAGCCTGGTTGAGCTTGTATTTCCCAGTAGGCACATGCACAAATCCACATATACACCTCTCAAACATGGACACAGATTACACATCGAGCCACACAGAGCACTCACACACAGTGCCAGCGGCCTCATCCCCCCTCCCCCCAGTTTGGCTGAGCAGGATGGAGGTGTGCTAGTGAGCACCCATGTTTATTTATATATGTATACACACGCACATGGGCGGAGTCTCTCCCTCCAGCAGCTTGGCTCAGGTTATCTGCCCAGTAGTTGCCCCTTGATCCCTGGTACCCTTGGTCTCCCAGTAGTAAACTCCCTGTGGTGGTTTTGCCCCCAGGGATCCCCAGGCCTCTCAGTCTTTTTGGCAGCTGGATGGGCCTTCTCTGGTCGCTCTGGGAGCTGTCTCCTCCTTCACAGCCTTTTCCTGGCTCCCAGGCCCCCTTGCTGGATAGTTGTGGCTGTTCACACTCACCTGCATGCCCATGCCCAGTGCTGCTCCGGGGGCACAAGTCCAAGCTGCTGGCACCTGGATCCCTCCACACCATTACCATGTGGTAATGAAAGGCCCTCACCCAGGGCAAATTGTGAAAGAAGTTTAGTGAGAAGATGGGACAGGCTGCACTGATAAGGTGCAGGGCGTGGCCAAACCATCACAAACCATTTACACACTATTGGTCCTTTTTATTCCCATGTCCCATGCTTGTTTCTCCACAAGTCACCTAAATCCCTTCTGTTTCTGCCCTGAATACCCCTTAATGCATCCCGTGCAATGCCAAAATGCTCTTCCCCTGTATCCCATTGTATGCCCCACACCCCTGAAGACAGTGACACCCCCAGTCCTAAAGGTGCTCTGGGTTTGAGGCTCCCCTGGCAGGGGGCTGGACAAGGTGTCCCTTCTTCTGAGTCCTTAACTGGGGTTTCCAGCTGCCCACCCTCGAGATGGGCCTTTGGTGGGCTGATGGCTCCTGGGATGGGCCCGGCAGGGCGCTTCTTGGGCTCCTCCTCCTGCCATCCTGTCCTCCTCTGTGGGTGTGCGGGCCGGCTTGTGCCACACAATCCAATGTATGCGGCTATCGCATCGTACTCCGTGGCTGACTGGCAACTTATCATGGCTTTCCGTGCCGTCTCTGCGGTCAGCGACGGCCGCTGTGTCTGTCCCTGTCACTGCCCCCGTGCCTGTCGCTGCCGCGGGACCGCCCGTGGCACCGCGAAATGGCTCCGCTGTTCGCCGCACCCGCAGTGACGCGCTCTGCGGTGACCCCGAGGCCACGGCTATGGAACCTGCATTAACTACGGCGGAAATATCAGCCCGCTGCGTTATCCCGAGCTGTAACAGCCCCCGGGGCATCCCTGTCACTTTCACTTCCTCCCGGTCCGAAGCTCCCTGCCGGCGGCGCTGGCGGGCGGCGGGTTACGGCCTAACACTTCCCTGCCTTTAGCGGCTGCTGCACCACTGCGGCCACCGCCATCCCCTTCGTGCTCGGACTCGCGACCCGCCCTCCCGTCGGCCGCCACCGCCGCCCCTCAGGCGTGGAGGGAGGGAGGCGGCTTCTCCTCCCCGTCCCCAGACCCTCCCGGGCGCGGCGCCGTCGCCCGCTGAACTACAACCCCCAGCATGGCCCACGGAGGGACCGGTACCCCTGGCCAGCGCGGGGGGCGCGCGCTGCATGCCGGGAATCGTAGTCTTCCCCCGGGGACCGCACCGCCCCTCATGAGGGCGCCGCCGGTCGGCCGGTCTCGCCGGAAGGGCTCCCTCTCCCAGAGGGCGCCGCGGCGCCCCGCGCGCGTGCGCAGTGCGGCGGCCAGCCAGCGCCGGGCAGGCAGGGAGGGAAGGAGGGTGGCGGGGAGGGAGCGGCGCTCGCGCGCCTCGGGCCCGAGAGGAGACAGCGCGGGGCCGGCGGGGCCGGCGGCAGGTATGGGGGGCGGTGGGGGCCCGTCACCGCGGGGTCGGCGGGGCGGGAGTGGCGGCGGCCGGGCGGCGCGCGGGGCCGGGTCCGCGGGGAGGAGGGAGCGGGTGTGGATGGGCTGAGGGGCGGCCCGGGCCGTGGCGGGGCGGGGGTGGGGGAGAGGCCCGTACCGGGGGTGCCGCGCGCCGCGGGAGCCCCCCCCCGCCCCCGGCACGCGCGCGCGCAACAGGCGCGCGGGGGCCGCGCGCGGGGCGGGGCCGCCGCCGGCGCGGCGGGAACGGCGCGCGCGTGGGCCGGGATCGGGATCGGGACCAGGACTGCGCGGGGGGTGCGGGGAGAGACGGGACCCTCCTGCCCAGGGAGAACCCCCGCGCGGCCGGACGGGCTCCCTGGGCTTCTACTGGTGGCGTGGCCGCGCGCCGGCTTTGGAAGTCTCCGGGATTGGCTGCGGGACTCGGACTGCTGCGGGACGGGGTGTGAGGAGAGGCAGAGCCTCAGCTGGACGAGAGGACATAGCCTTAAGCTGCGCCAGGGGATGTTCGGGTGGGACATTTGGGGGAATTTCTTCACTGGAAGGGTGGTTAAGCATTGGAATGGACTGCCCAGGAAGGTGGTGGAGTCGAGGTGTTTAAGGAAAGACTGCAAGTGCTACTCAGTGTCGTGGTCTAGTTGACAGGGTGGTGTTCGGTCATAGGTTGGACTCGGTGATCTGAGAGGTCTTTTCCAACCTGGTTGATTTTGTGGTTCTGTGGAAGGGAAGGGAAACTTTCTCCTGGATCTTCCAAGCTTTCCCTTCCCCCCTCCCCCCGCCAGTGATGTTAGGTGATCTTACTAAAGCTCTGCCTTCTCCCTGCAAACATCACTTCGTATCCTCACATTATCCCACCCACAGCGTTATCTCTTTGACTCTCTGCATACGACGAAGGGTTTGCGCTCGGTGGCCGTTTCCAGTTGTCCTATTCTCGAGACTGTATCCGGCAGAAACTCGTCCCATTCATAGTCCCCAAGTCTGTGTTGCCCGTACCGCGGCACATGGAACGATGATTTTAAGCTTTGCCTCTTGAGGGCGTTTCATGAAAACTGAAACTCCGAGCTGAAAAGATACGTCATGAGCTGTGAAAATACTGGGCTGCTGTTTCTGCAGAATTCCCAAATGGTGCTGAATGGTTGTGTTTAATGGTCCCTTTATCCTTTATTCAAGCTGCTGTTCTTCTGGATTTTTTTGTTTGCTGGCATATTTTCTGCTTTGACTGCTTGATGTTAATGAAAGACTCAATAAAGTTGGGATATGTCTATGAGCTCTCAGGAAATGGGATTTTAACTTTATCCCTAGAAACTAGTTATTTTAAAGCTACTTTGTATATACCTCTAACAATTAGTAGCTAGAATAGAGTAGTTAATTAGTAGATTGTAAATAGAGTGTAAATTAATATATTGAGTCAAGCTAATCTTTGAATTTGTCCTTGTTTTTTGTTGTAACTCCACTGTTCTCCCTTCAGCATTACCACCTGCACTGACATGTGAACTGGCTCGTTCAAAACAGCGTTTAAAATTTCTGCTTGAGCTGTAGTTGCACCTTTTAGTTACCCTTTAGAAATACCCTTAGGCACAGGGGAAATGAGTCGTAGCTCAAGGCCTGATAACTTGAGATGACATGCGAGGTAGAGGTTCTTCTCAAAGGTAGAGGTTTTTCTCAGCGTGGGTTCCCTTGTCACAGTCTTTTAAACATATGCAATGATGCCTCGCTCCTGAGAAGTGCTTCCCTTTCTGAGAAATGTGACTGTTTTGTGGGCTTGGCTCCCTCATTGGCCCCCAACTTCTAAACAGAGTCTTGGTTACATTGCATCTCTCATTCTAACACTGCACCAGGATGTTTGACTTTTGCTGTCAGAGTGCCATACGTTGATTTTTTCCAATGTTATCTCTATGTTGATGACTTCAGAGCTGGCTTGCTGGCGTTTTATTTCAACTTCAGTGTTTCAATACGGTGATCTTTTCTTTCTTTTTTTATTTCTTTCCCTTCTGTGTGAATAAGCTAAAGTGAATAGAATGGTACTTTTTTTTTTTACTGTCCTGTATCTGACAGGCTTGCTTTGATAACTTTCTGTTTGTCCCTCCATAAGGTTGGGGAATTATTCTTCTAAAGTGTTTACGAGGGGACGAATGGGGGACTTCACTTTGCTTTTGTGTTCTTAACGATAAAAGTTTACTTGTTAGGGCAACAGTAAACAACTTGCTAGGTTGGAAAATTTAACTTAGTGGCAAGAGGTGTAAAACAGTGCCCTCCTGAAAAACTGAAATCAAGTTTATGCAAAAAAGCATATGGCAGATTAAAAAAATGGTGATGTGATTTAGGGTTAGGGATTTTAATGTAGATTTGAAACATAAGAGATATAGAAGAACAGCAGCAAATAGCTAATTTATTGTATTTGCTTAAATGCTTCTGAAGGCCAGAGGGAATAGTGAGTGAGCCTAGTAGGCCATGAGCAAGTCAAGAAAAATAAAAGCTATTAAAGGAATTACTCACTTGATGAAATACTCTGAGTGGCTGAAATATCTGAACAGGAGGTTCTGGAATGATGTAATGCACAAACAAGTTAGAAAGACCAGGCCACTTCTGTTTCAGAGAAAATGAGTGGAAGCTGAACTGATAAGAAAATTATTCAGCTTCACACTGAGGGACTAAAGCATAATGAAAGTACTTGTTTAAATAATATAATAATAGTGATGAGAAAAATGCTGATGTAAATTGCAGAGCAAAGGGGCAGCATTATGGTAGCAAGTCAACTTTTTTCTACTCGGAAGAAAAAAAAAATCTAGTCTGTTACAATTTTTGAAGTCTGTCAAGCAAGTAAGTGGATTAAACTGCCCGATGTTATTTCCAAGAATGAACATGGAGTTTTCAAGATACAAAATGCCAGCAATAGAATGCAAAGCCTGTAGAAATATCTCTACCTTGGAGAAGGTAGAGTGATTCTGGAAAAACAGCAAAGGTAAGTTTAAACTAAAAACTCAGTGGAAATCTCTGCTAAATATAAAATCTGTGGAACGGTAGGACTGGAAATTATATTATGCCACCTCATGAATATCTTGAACTGCATTAAACATCATACAGACTTAATAATTCATTTTGAGGATAAAAAATAGAGGCAGTCTAAGACAGGTGACATTAAATTTCCTTTCCCCAGAATTGGTTTATAAAGGATGGTGGTAGTAGGAGGGTACGAAAGAGTGTTAGAAAGTGATGGTACACTGGACATCATGGGGTCACTTCTGTTGGTCCATTCATGTAAGACAGGAGTAAATGGAGTTCAGTGACATAGAAGAAATTTTGAATTGGGATAATGTGAATACTTTCTTGAAACATAATTAATGCTTAGGGTCATGAGGAGGCAGAAGCTAAAAGCATTGGAACTGAAAAAAATACAACTATTCCTGGATTTGTATGGAGAGTGATAGACTCTGAATTTGCAGAGTGTGACATGAGGCTTAAGATTTAGCTAGTCACCAGCTGCTGACAGCTTTCCTTATGATCCAGAGTAATTATTTTATCTTTTTCCATTTTTATTTGGTAGTTCAGACTGCTTGTCAGGCTCAGCAGGAGGATTCATATGTTCTGCGAGAAGCTAACTGGTTTGATGCTTTATTTTAACTAAAGTTGAGATTAAATGTAAGTGATATGTCAGTTCTAGAACCTTAAAAGAAATAATCTGTGACTAAACGTCCTGAATGTATTTATCTCCAAAGAACGCATTGCACGACTACCAAATTTAGTGCTATGGTTATACTTGAAAGCAAATTCACCAGTTGAATTATGAAAATGTCATTTTGGCAAACAAGCCTGCTACTGGTGACACACAAACTGCAATGTACCTATAAGTAAAGTCAGGTAATAATGTTGTGATTATTAGATTGTTGTGGGTTTTGTCTGAAGTAGGGTGAGATTGCCTCTTAAAAGATACAAGGATTCCTTGTAGAGCTTCTACATGATCCCTTCTTCAACTGGCCTGTGTGTTCCTGTTCTACCTTTTTTTTTTTTTTTTTTAATTGAGAAGTGAGCAGAAAGGAGAAAGATGTGTCTCTCTGTGCTGCGTCTTGGATTCAAGAGCTTTTGGTAGGAGGGGTACTAGGGAGGAAAAATGAGCATAACCAAGCTTTAAGGTGCCTATGGGTTTTTTCTTGATGTGGCTGATACATCATCGTTACATGACTCTCTTGGTTGCTGATGTCCAAAGTTAGTATGAAGGCAGTAGAATTTTGACTTACCGTTATTCTGTGGGTTTGCACACGCCTTGCATAGTGCTGAGTCACAGCAAATAATACAATTGTTGCAGGCAAATTTGTCATCACGGGAAGGATAAGGTAGCTTTGGTTTCTGTACCTTCTGATATTCCCAACTCCACAAAAAAGTTGCTTGAAACTACAAAGTCAACTTAATTAATAATTTAGTTTATTTTTAACCCAATTTGTTTTAAAGTGTTAGGGATTTCTTTTTTTCATGATGTGAAATGCCGAAAGGTGCACTCTTGTTCTCTCGTAAAGAATGTTCAGGGTGTTAGCAATTTTAGGGTGATCTTTTTTCTGACAGATGATGACTGTCAAATGTTGTTTTTAAAACAGTCTCTTTTTCAGATATGACCTTACAGAAAATACATTGTTGGCCAGCTCATTCTGTAAGTGCAGGGAGGATAAGCTGTAATCTTAATCAAAATACAAATGTATCTCTGCTTTAAAAGAAAAACAGATTACATTACACAGGAATAATCACTTCTGTTGTTTCATGTAGATGGGCACATTAACGTGAGGTTATTTTTTTAATGTTAGTATAAGCCTGTGCGGCTGAAAAGTTTAATTCCCCATCACTAGCTGCTTTGTTTTATGACTTGTGGGAACTTTTTGGTTGCAGGTTGATTGTGGACTGTAGAAAATAGAAACCTCATAGAAATGAGTTTTTTTTATTTAAACAGATTTATTGTGCTGCAACGTCTTTGAATACAGTAAAGGAGTTTTGCATTTTCAACTCAAATCAGAAAGTCTCAGGTAGCAAATTTGAAGAAGTTTTCATTTTAACTTGACCTGGCTTTGACAGTCAGGTTTTTTTGCCCTCTTGCTCAAGTTAAAAGCTTTCTGGAACTTGGAAAGCTGTATCTGCTGCCTTGTTAAGTCAAAGTGGACCTTTAAAAAATGGGACTCAAAACATGTTGGAAATGTCTTTGTGATAGAAAATGTATAGTGAAGTGCTGGATATACTGTGTGTAATCTTTTATTGGGGGGGTGTCCTCTCCTTCCACCAAATATTGTAAATGTTTTACTGCTTAATGTCGTCATCAGTGTTTCTTTAAAAAAGTAAGAAAAAGTGCATAATCCTCAAGCTTTTAAAAATTAAGTGTCTGTTTATGTGGCTGTCACTGTGCTTAGGTAGTAGTACAGGCTGATGTGTCACATCAGTTTCTGAGACAGCACCAAGCGTCAAGTAATTCTATTTCTGTTAGTGGTTGTTTTTTGCTGCAACCAGAAATATGCTTCCTTGTTTTTTTTTTTTGACTGAGGTTTTTTTTTTAGTGTAAAGAAGATCAGGGACCTGGCAAACTGATATTGACCTGATTTTAAGCACGTCTTAATAAATAACTATTTTTGTAAGCACAGAAAATTTTTCTGAATGTTACCTGGGAATATAATTGTTTTACCCTTCAAGATTAGTAATTCTGCAGAAATACCTTTGATATGGTATCTTATTTTAACCATGTTTTCATCTTGTCAAGATGAGATGTCAAAATGGGACATCCCTGCAGACTTGACATCAGGTGGCCTTGATGTTGTTCAGGCAACACAGTCTATTTTTTCTCCATTTTTTTTTGTTTGCTTTTGAGCAACAGTCAATGTTGAGGTTTGTAATTGGTCTGTAGTATCACATTCCATATTGTGCAGTGTTGTTTCTTTTCAGGCCTTGTATGAATTGTTTTGAGATTATTCTCATTATTAAGCAGGTACCAGTCCAACTTGCCAAGTGACCTAAAGCTAAATTAGCTGTAGATTAGGTGGGTTAATACTTGTTTGCTCTTTGACAAGTTTATAAAAGTGCTAGAACAGAAGCAGTTGTGAATTAAGGCCTACTATTGGGCAGGGAAAAATGCTAGGAGGACTAGGAAGCCTGCATTTGACAAATATGGAGATGGGCAGCAGTTCCATGAAGAAGTCCCCTTCTTGTTTCCAGTTTTTGACAGAAAGTCCCTTCAAGTCTAAACCCTGTTTCAAGGCTATATGTTTTATCCATGTTTTGCTGCAACTCTTGGGTTAAAGGAGTTGAAGCTCTTTTAATCCTCTGGCCTTTTGCATAGCAGAAGGTGGTGGTTTCATTTCTTCTCCATCATTCTCCTGTGATGGTTGCCCTAGGAGTGTGGGTCCCTGCTGTTCTGCTGCTGCAGCTTCCATAAACCACAGAAAATGAAATTCACACAATTTTGTTTCCTTCTAAGTGCCAGGATTTGATATATCATCAGCAAAACCTACTTTGCAAGTCTTTACAAATACTGTAACTGTTAATTTTATGGTGCCTGTAAGACATGTTTCCCCATCCCATTTTACAGCTAGAGAAGGTTAAGCATAGGTTTGAGAAATGGCTGTGCTTGAACAACAGCTTTTTGTAGATGAGATGATCAAATATCCTTCCCTCTAGATGTCCTGAGCTTTACAGGAGTCTGAAGCCATTTGAAATTAGAAAGTAATACCTGTCCCTCGGGACATGTGGGTGTTTCTACTGATGGACATTCCAATAGACCCCTCTAATCCAGTATGTTTTGGTCAAATAATTTTGGAAAAGAAGCAGATACATCCTCACCAAAATGTTAATCTAGCCGAGATGGTTTTTCAAACAACAGGAGGTGACAGTGAAGAGTGAAGTCAGTCTGCTGCTTTTCTTTTATTTTTTTTTTTTCCCTCAGATAGCACTGTCAACAGTATGGAGACTTGGTGGATGTGTACATAGGATTTTGCTCTGGAAGTTTTTCCTGGGAAATAGCATGAATCCCAGATGATATTTTTTATCATTCTGTGCCCTGTATTATTCATGGTTCTATTATGAAGACCTTTCATTGTCTGTCACCTCCAAGAAATCTAACTGTTTACTTCCACATGATTTAAGTAGTTCTGTTAGCATTCTGATCTGTTACCTTTGAATTGCTAAAAAGCAAATTAGAAGGACTTTCTAAAATCTATGCTTCATGGGAAAAAAAACCAAACACATTTGTGGCCAAAATGTTGAATTTGTAGAGAGTGTGTTGATGAGAGCAAAGAATGATCAAGTGCTACTTTCAAGTTAGTTTCTTTAAATTGGATAGGTTTTCTAGTCTCACACTAAAGTGTGTCAGAGGGTGATGCATCCTGTAATCACACCTCAGCGAATTGCTCAAACATCTGTCCAGGCTGTGCTGTAGGTATTTGGCATTATGTCAAGAAGCATGATTGTGATGTAACTTCTCTAGGAAGTGTAGAGTCCCATGGCAGAGCCAATACACAAGCTAAAATCTCCTTGGAAGTAAAGGTGTTTGTACATTGATTACCTTGAGTGATTCCAGCTTCTCTCACTGCTTAGAGTTCTGTCCTGACAGTGCCATTTCCAGCATGGCTTGTCCTTTCAGGGTTGTTTCCCTCTCTCTTTGGCAGGAATCAAAAGGAGAGACAGCAGTTTGACAGCACACCAGAGCTCATAAGTCTGCCTCCAGTGAGTCCTTTCCTTTTGTCAACTGCTCTGTTAGTTAGGAAATGTGCACTGATATTATAGAAGATCATGGATGTTTAGATACTTTTTTTTCCACACTGTTTCTCTTCAACCTCCTCTGCCTAAAGTTTCAAGTCTTCTGCTTCCGTTATACTCCTATTAGAAGGTAGAATGTCTTATATAGGTTTGCTATTCCCACTCCTACTTCCAAAGAAGGAAAGTTTGTCTCCAGCAGTCTTTAATATCAGCAGTGTATTTCATAATCTTGGTTTCAGCTCTATGTACATGGTGTATATGTTACTCTTACATATAAAAAATGTATGTGGTTATATATACTATTACGCAGGTCTTGATTTGTAAGGGCTTTATTTTTACATCTTGGTACCTCTGACGTGTGGAATATCCAAGAGTATTAGTCACATGGCATTCCTTCTGGCAAAGCTCTTAAGTCTAGTGACAGTGATATCTGATTTAAGAAGGCAGGGAGTTCATTTTTGTTCCTATATAGATGATTGCTTGGGACAAGGTAGGTCATGGCAGTAAGTGACTCTGTATTTCCCGGTGCTTCTGAATTCCTTTTACTTGATGAGCAAGGAGAAATGCAGTACTTCTTATTTCCCCTAGAAGTGTGTGCTTGGAACACATTGACATTTGGTAGGGTTCTTGTCTTAATCAGCAAAAAAATTTGGATCATATTTTCCTCAGAGAAATGCAAACATTCAGGAATAGACAGAGTTTAATTTTACTAAATTTTTTTTTTAATGGTAGCCAAACTGAGGAGGAGAAAGTGTCATATGGAGTTTGAGTGGTATTGCACAAAAGCCTGAAAATACACCATGAAAGTTCCTTACCAGGTCTCCAGAGGTTTTTATCTGTAGCCAGGAGTATAAAAAATGTGGACAATACTGTGCTATCTTTAGGAAAGAAAAGATGTGTAGAACATTTCCATGACAACCACCACAGATTTTCACCAGAAGTAGCATTAATTTTGACAATGCAGAGAAAATCTAGGGTTTGCTATTTGCTGCATGGGTGAACTTAGTGACCACTGAAAGATTTTCAACTAAGTCACAACAAAGCTGCTGAAGGCCAATTTGAAGTTGGTTTGCTTCTGTTGCTTAGTGTGGGGGAAAGGCTGCATCCTGAAAAATAGAGGAGGAGATTTATAGCAAACAATCCTTGGATGACTGTAACAACTAACATAGAATTGTTGTATTTTCAGTCCTGAAAAGCCATTGTGTGCTCACACACTTGAGTAGGTCTGAAGATGTTAGCAGCTTGTGTGGGCTAGATGGAATCCCTGATGGGGTCATTGAATTTTTCATCAGTAGTCAGGAAACCAGTAAAAGAATGGTGAAGAAATAATTGATTTTAAGATTTATTCAGGACATAAAAGCTACTTTTAGAAAATAACTATGGATTTAATAGTTATACAGGTTAGATTGGCAGGTATGTAAAATGGATTTGTGGCTATGTGCTGGGATTTTGCTTATTTACTACCAGTGAGGGCCTGCTATAAAATAAATTATTGAACTAATTGCTAGTTGAATCGGTAACTTCTCAGTGGTGGAGGGAGTTTAATTTTTTCACCTTTAATAAAAGAAACTCTTCCCAGTCATTTGGTGGTAGGCATTTGTACCCCCAGGTAAAACCCAATATACTATTTTGAAAGGATTTTAAGTGTACAGTTTACTCAGAAGATAGAGGAAGGGGTCAGTCAGCAAAATGAGCTGTCTTGAAAGTCAGAAATGAGCATAGCCAAAAGTTGTGGCTAAAGCTTGTAAAGGGTGTAAGAAGTAGAAGATAATTCTTGTGAAACTGTTGGGTAGAGGGGTTGAGGTAAAATCAGAGAGAGAATTCAAGTAAATCCTGTGTCTGTGTTTTCAATAAATGAAACAATGACATAAGGTACAGGAGGAGTGAGCTAATAGAACTCTGAAAGGAAAATGGAAATTATTACCTTAAAGTCAGAAGCAAAATTAATCAAAAGAAAATTAATATGCAAGTTGGGAGATGAGGGGAAACTAGTTAAAAAAATACAGTAAGGAAGAATACACTAAAGAAACATTTATGATGAAGTTGGTACTGTCATTGAAATTTTGAAACAGTAGAACATTATATGGAGAGGCTGCATAATGGAAATAAGATGAATTTCAGTATTAAGGGATGAAGATGTTCCCTGTCAAGGATTTATTGAGATTAAGAACTTGTAGGGTTTGAAAGTGAAGGTGTGAAAGGACCACAGGAATTTATCAAAGTCCTGAAATCCCAAAGAAAGGCAAATACAATCTTGTGAGTTTGGGAAGACAGGTTTCAGGCAAAAGTGGAGAATTATTAATAACATTATGGAGGGCCCGAGATCTTGTTTGGAATGTGGCACGTGCCCGTGTTTGTTCATGTTCAGGGGCAGAATGACTGGAGTGTCTGCAAAGCCGTTTTTCTGTTTGGCATGTCCTTTTAGCTCATGGTTGTCCATCTGGTGTTTCAGTTCATCTTGCTAATTCTAAAATACACCAAATGTTTTATTCAAAATATTTTAGGAACAAAAGAAATTCTGAGTACTTGTTAGCCTGAACTTCTTTTTACAGTTAAAATTCAGGGCTTCTTCAGATAGTATGTAAGTTTAATATACAGGTAGTAGTCACTTGAACTAAAAATGGGAAGAAAATGTAGTTGCCAAGCATACTGTAAGAAACACAAACACTTAAAGCACAAACATGTAAACACAGGAAGAAGGGAGTCTCAAAGATATTAAGAATGATGTAGGGAACTTCTGTCATTCTGAGATTTATCTTTTTGTAGTACCTTTATTAAAAAAAAAAAGTAATTTCCAGAACAGCCTTTTCAGCAAAATTAGACTGCTGAATTACCTACCTGTATGCTCAGGTTTTTATGTTGCATTTGGTGCAAATTGTGACTGACTGATAATCAATATAGTAGTTTGTGTTCCCGAACAGTTTTTTAAATTTCAGTTGTCAGAATACAATAACTTTTGAAGTGATGCCCAAAATGTTTTCTGTTAAAGTAAGTTCTGATCGTCAGAATTCTTCAAATTGATTGTCAGATAGCAACAACTTAAAAAGAGGCTCTAACAAGAAGCACATTTGAGTATCCTCTTTATTTTTTATTCTCTTAAAATTCTTTGTGCTAACTGAAAGAAGAGGAGGTTAGAGCAGACTTGATTTGATGTATTTTTAATAGGAAACCTTAGCTGTTGAGAGTCTGTATACATGCTCCATTTTAAAGTAAAAAGTGCACAGGAGATCATTTATCATCTGGTGATGCTGGGCTTATGGAATTTGAGATATTGTATTTTATACAATGCTTTAGGGAATTTGAAAGAGAGCTTTAAAGCCTTGTAGAGTAACTTTATGTATAGTGTAGCTCCCTAAATTTTGTGTTACAGATAGTTACAATGTATTGAAGAGCGTGCATCTCTATGAAGATGCATGGAAATCCCGACATGTTGAGAATTTGATTCCCAACCCCTTTTGTATTTAAGGGGGTGATGTAAGGAGAGAAGTAGCAGGAGAATGGAGCACTAAGAGTAAAGACTTGATCCACAGCCCATTGATTTCGGGGGGATGTGTTCCTTCCACACAGTATTATACTTACTGTTTTACGCTAAGTAACTCCAAAGTGTGGTGGTGTACATGTGAAAATTTTCATGGGTAGTTAAAAATGCTGATCCACTGAGTTACGTAAGACAGATGGTACTTGGAAAGCACGGACTGAAAAAAGGCCCCTCTACATAAACAGTGACAGGATTAGAGACTGGGGGTGGGGAGGAGGGGAACAATAGCACTGCTTTCTTTGCAGAACAGAGCATTTTCAATGGTTAAACCATCCTCATCTAAAATTTTTCTTTTCGTTTCCATTTCCTTGTAGGCCTTGTCTGGATAGAAAGAACACAGGGTTTCTTCAACAGGGTTTTGTTAAATTTACTTAAAGTGTGTATTTGAAGTTCAAAAAAAAGCCCCTCTACTGACTCGCAAAGTAAATCAAGCTAAAAAGCACCTAAGACACCTTTACTTCTGAGTGAAGACAGGGGTATGTAAGTAGTTTGGCTAATTCTCTGTGTGGAGAAATGCTAAAAATCAGTCGTGCAGTTTTCTTTTTAGCCCAGGCTATACACTTTGCCTTATAGACCTCAATTCTTTCTTAATAAAATATTTCACTTACTCGCTGCAGCCTCAGAGAATAAAATATAAGTTTGTTCGACTGATGTGAAGAACTGGCACACCAAAGTGACAATTCTGTGAAATTTTGCTTTACACCTTCTAAACTGTTGGAAGTTAGGTGATGGGATATAGGGAGGCAGTGGCTGGAAATTCATGGCTACAGATTTTAAGGAGTGGAGACAGAATATGAAATGATGTGTTGAAGAGTAATTTTTTCTGTCTTCTCTTTTTATTTGTATTGTGAAGGAATCATGACGACCTCAGGAAAAGAGAATTTCCGACTGAAGAGCTACAAGAACAAATCTCTGAACCCTGATGAGATGCGTCGCAGGCGGGAGGAAGAGGGTCTTCAGCTGCGGAAGCAAAAGAGAGAAGAGCAGGTAATGCACGGCAGTTGTGGTAACTGGGACCAGTCCTGAAACAGTCTTGTCTTGCATTGTCTTTGGCTTTTGCTTCTCCCAAGCCCTTTCTTAGTTGTTCCTGCCCTCTAAGTTCATAGGTAGTCAGTCTGAAATCAGAATCGCCTGCAGACTTTACTGCCTCTTCTGCAGACCCTACGAGACTCAGAGTGACTGCTCCTCATTCACTCAAGTGCATCGTTGGCCAGAGCAGCCTAAAGATTTCACAGAACTGACTGACCTTGCACTGAAGGTGATTGAGGAACTCCTATTTTGTTCTTTGTTTGTTTATTTATTTTCCTCTGAGTTGTGGTGGCTCTAATCTGTTCAAAGAGTGGTAAGCTGAGGTGAGATGGAACAAAACATTACAGCTAGAATAGAAGGATGAAAAGATACGACCAAGTCCTTAGAAGCTGCAGTAATGGTTTTCTTGAGGGAAGAAATAATTTGTTGACCTGGTTCTTCTCAGGTTGTTGTCTTGAAGTTTCAATTAATTTTTTTGTTTGGTGGGGTTTCTTGGTTTTTTTGTGTTTTTTTTAGCTGAACAACATCACAAAAACAACCTCAGGCCTCTGAATTTTCTTAGAACTTGACAATGTATAAATTTTGGTTTAAGATTATATTTTTGGACATTTGTTGAGCTTAAGTGGGCACATCATACAGTAGTTTAGTAGGAAAAGCATTCCATAGGAATGCTTATCACTGACCTGGAGTTGTTGTACACTTAGCAGTTTTGCATACAGTGTCCTCCCTGTCTTCTATGGAGAAAAGACTAGCGGTAGGTCTGTGTTAGGGCTCTGCTTTGCCTGTCTGCAGTGGTGCAAATCTGACATGGCTTAATGCTGGAGTCCTCCCTCCTGTGCTCAACAGCACCCTCAAAGCCATCTTCTTACTGCTAATGTTCCTTCCAATGAGACAACTGGATTAAGGAGAGAAGCAGTAGCCTCTCTAGCTCTCCTCATGACATCTCTTAACTGGGTACCTTCTCTAAGTCATAGCAACCAAATTCTGCTCATCCCAGTGTAATATCAATGCTATGTATGATCATCCTCCAGAGCCTTCTCTTTGCTGCTGTATCTCTTTTATCAGAACCTCTGCAGGTGTTCTATGAAGATCTGTAATACAGAGCAATTTATCAGGTCTTTGAGCCCCAGAACTTCTACAAGAAAGCAATTGTCTGGAAGCTGGAGATGCTTGTAGGTAGAGGTGGATGGTGAAGAAGAGAAGGGAACATCAGTGAAAGTTTTTCAGAAATATTAGGAACCAATCTTTTAGCATTGTTTTTTTCATTTACTCCACTGCTAAACTTTCTCCATGTACTGTCAGGTGAAGTCCTGTAGCCAGCATATAAACTTCTTTCAGGTAATAGCATGTGTAATTTTTATTGCAGCCTAACGTGACGTGCTGTGTATGTATTGGCTGTATAATATGTATGAAACACTTTTTCTCTTTAGTTGTTTAAACGCCGAAATGTTGCAACGGCTGAGGAAGAAGCGGAGGAGGAAGTAATGTCAGATGGTGGCTTCCATGAGGCTCAGATGAACAACATGGAGATGACTTCTGTAAGTGACGAGAAAGGAATACAGTTGTTTTTTGTTGAAACTGGGCAGGTCTGCTGTGCAGTGACTTGAGGGGAATGGAATTCCAGAAGAATGTGAAAAATGCATTCAAAGAGCTTATGGACAGCTCTGAAACATCTGTCTCAGTGAACTACCCTGAAACAGATTACATGAGAGAAAAATGTTATGGATAGGGTGAGTGGTTGTTCAGAGGATGCGTGCTCAAGAAAATTAAATAAAACATCATTGTCCTGGCAGGCTGATTACTGCCTGGTTCTGATGTTCACCATTATGGGTGATTTTATCAACTGTTGCCCAAAGTTCTTGGTTTCTTTTTAATCTGAAATTTATAATACTTGAAACATGAACATGCAAATCAGGCAGTGTGTTATTGCAGTTTACAAAGTTTAAAACGGGATCAATGGAAATCTTTCTTAACAGACATTCAAGTGGCACCGCTTTTAGCCAGGGTATTGGAAATACAGCTAGATATAGCTTATCTGTCTGCACAAGGCCGTAAACTCCTTTACAAGCTAGAAAAAAAAGCTCTCTCCTCGTTTCTTTACCACTGTTCTCTTCCTGAAAAGACAAATGGTAAGGTTTTCTGGCTATAACAGAGAGGTTTGAGGAAAGTACAGTCCTCACTTAAAAGGTTGACCACTGATCTTCACACTGTCTATACTGGGACTACACAAGTGGTATTTTCATAGAAATCAGGCTGAGGTTTGTATTCTGTTGGTGGTTATATGGGCCTTGAAAATTACCGAGAAACAGAGAAGTGCTTATAAACAATGTGGAAGTTCATTAATAGAATATATAGTTTTACTCTTCAAGAGTTTATCTTAAAATATCAGACAAATCCTAAATACCATTAATTGTTTGTGTGGAAGCTTATACAGAGAGTTAGGAAAGGATTCTGCTTAACTGAGATATTGCCATTATACAGTTTGCAGTGTTAAATATCATTAGTGTCAGGCCATTAATAGTTGGAGCAGTTAGCTGTTACAGACAAAGCTTAAGTATTTTCAGCACTGTCATCTATCTCCCTGTCTAAAGGTTGGGATCCGATTTAGATTAGAAGTGGAAGAAAAAAATCTAACTTTTCTTATGCTTCTTTAAATACACATGTGGTAAACAGAATGTCAGATCTTACCTTGCATAAGAAAGGTTGCTGATTTAATTAGCCATATTACTGGAAACCATTAGTATTATGGAAAATTTAATACTCTTACTTGATGATGATGACAAGCATTAGGTTTGGCACCTCTTCTGGAAATGACAGGTCCTGTACATTTTGGCATAACGGAATAAGTCAAAATTTACATGTTAGAAAAATCTAAACAATAACACAGTCAAAGTGGTGTTCTTGCAAAAGAGTAATTCCAATTCCAGTTTAAACTACCTTCTGTTGAACCTGACAATTTTACATTTATTTTCAAGGAGGGGAGAGAATACCAGTAAATGATTCTGGAGAGTAATGTTTTTACCATATCTTGAGTAAAATTTGAATTTTGGCTTCCAGTAAAAAATGTTGCTCTTGAAATTATGCTGCTTACGTAGATGTACCTTCCTTGTCTATAATGGTCTTACCTAGGTTTTTACCCAATAAGAGATTAACTTGATACTGGTTTAACATATGTAATAACCTGTTTACCACTAATCCCAGATTTTTTTCCCCCCTTTTGCTCTCTTATCACTGTCATTGTTTCTGCATGTGAACCCTAGAGTGCAGTCATCACCTCTGATATGATTGAGATGATTTTCTCCAATAGTCCAGAACAGCAGCTTTCAGCCACCCAGAAGTTCCGAAAGCTCCTTTCTAAAGGTAAGGAAATTACGTGGAGAAAAATGTAGAAGCCTCCCTGGTACGTTTTTACTTTGACAGCAATAAGGATTGAATTTCACACTGAAATTTCTGGGTCAAGGTCTGCTTTACAAACTGTCAGCTAGATATAGTCACTTGTCTTGAAATCTGTTTTAAGTGTTGCAGATGTGATATCTCCTCTTGAATGCAAGTTTGAATGTCGTAGGCAGTGTCTCTGTGGCTCAAATACGCTGATATACTGAGGTTTCTCTGCACACAAACTGCTGCTGTGAAGTTGATCTGCCTAAATTACTGAGTGCATTAGTGTTTTGAATCATGTTACCTCATTACCTTAAAATTCAGACTGAAGTTTTCTTATGTTGACAGATAGGAATCTGATGCCTTTTAGTAAAGTATTGTAGAAAAAGAACACACTCTCAAAAAAGAGCAGTCAGTATTTAGTGGATATTATTATGATGCAGTAATTTGAGAACTTCCCTACAAAGAAATCTAACTTTACTTTTTATTTTAAACAGAACCAAATCCCCCAATAGATGAAGTCATAAGCACACAAGGAGTGGTGGCCAGGTTTGTGGAGTTCCTCAAACGAAAAGAAAACTGTACATTACAGGTATATAAATATACTTGTCTTCCTAGATTAGGAAGGCATTTGGTGATGCAAATTAGAAAAAAAAATCAGTGATTTGTTTAGCTGTACTACCCTTCTTTCTTCACTATATTAAAAATGCTGTTTTATCTTCGGAGTTTCTGGCAAGACCTCTGGGGACAGGATGGGAGAGAGAGGTCTGAGATGCATTGTGTGATGGATAGGATGGGATCTGCGCACTTCAACAAAAACAGAGCTTGAAATTTGGAACTCAACAGTTAAAAAGCTTTGGGGCTTTTAATGTTTGTCTTTTTTTTTTTTTTTACTAATTGAAGACAGTTTTAAATCTTTAGAATTATGACTTAAATTTTTGATTAATTTAAAAAACAGTTTAGAATTAGAATTACAATCTGTAATTATAAACATGGAAACTTTGAAACTTACTATGGTTTGAAAAACTGAATTGCATCTGCTACAATGGTGGTTAATTTTTCTTGGACCTTTGTCTCATTTTCAGCTGTCCTTTTTCCTGGCCAGAGTTGTTCTGGGCTAGTAGAAAGTGAAGAAGCACAAATCATCTAGTAAAACATGTTAATTTAACATGTAACCATTAAATACAACATATATGCTAGAATCAATGTTGTTTCAAAATCCATAGGGCAACAGGTTTGTTAATGCCACGCAAAATCCAAATTTTGCAGATGGAGATATACAGAAAATCGATAGTTTTCTTACACATTAGAGAAATTGTTTATAGGTATTACTTTTCAGATTGATATCCACAGAATTCCAGAGGTCTGTTAGCTACCTTTGAGGAGTTTGTGGACAGTAACTAAGAGTATGTGTCAGATTTAAACTGGTTAGTTTGCAATTCAGTGGAGAATTTGTAAGCCGTCTGATGTAAAAAAAATGGAATTATTTTTATCAGTTATAGGGGTTTAGCATAGAACCTAAGACAGGCAAATTAATGGAAGCAATTCTTGTAGCCTTATTTGTGTAACCTGTATTGATTTTTACATGGAAATAGGAAAAATCAGTCAGTGGAAACTTGCAAGTTTGTCCTTTGAAGAATTTTTAAGAAAGTAGCGAAAATATAAGTGAATTTGTTGCTCTCGATATTTCATTCAACCTGGGTAATTTTTCTTCATCTTGCCAAATCTCTCTACCTGCTTGGCAATTCAGGGTCTGTATGTGGAGTTTTTACTGTGATCAGTTAGGAAGTTCCTCTTGTCTTCACTTTTTATTGTTTGTCTTGTTTCCAGAAGTATTCCTTTGACCTTGGTATTCTAGGCATTCCTGACTGTAGCCTAGCTGTAGAAGGAAAGGACTTTCAACTCATTCTGAAATAGTGAAGTAGGAAGTATAGCTACTTGTATAGTGGATTGAATATGGAAACTTCTGTGTTAATGAACTTGAATGTTTATGGGATTTTATGCTCCATTTTCTTTGCTGTTGTCAATGGAATATCCTGTAAAAACTAGGCTTCTGATATCAGTGGTAGGAAGGCCTAATTTATTAGGAATTCCTCTGTCCTGTTTTTACTCAAGGTGAATTCAAGGCTTAAAAGAGCTCCCCTCTTCTCTATGGTCACTTACACAATACATGAACAAATACATTTGTTTCATGTGGAAAATATTGTTGTGATGAGGGGGAGAAATCTTAAAAAAGAACAATACTACACAGATACCTTTGCCATTTGCATGTGACTCTTCCTTGGTTTCCACATCCTGGAGAGTCAGGTGTCCACAGAGAGGGAGGACCTGTCAGTCACCTTTCCATGACTTACACTGGAGACAGTGTGAGTCTCCAAGCTGTGCGTAGTTCAAACTGGTGGCTTCCATTAGGAAGCCTAAGGGCAAGTTCTAAAATATGAGTAAGAAACCTCTGTGGTTGAAAGATGACTAATAGTTGTGTTACACTCTATCTCAATACACTGGATACGCACTTCAGGGAAAGTAAAATTACAGGAAAACAAGTACATTTTATGCTGGACTTAAACTCTGGTCTGAGTGTTTTGCTTCTAGTTCATTGACAATGGACCTTGCTGTTTTGACATTGTGTTTCAGCTTTATTTTGCAGACCATTCTCTTTGTGTATCACAGTGATGTATTTTGGAATTGTTTATTCTGATCACATCTTACTAGAAGATAATTTCTCCTGTAGCTGATCAGGAGGACATGATTAATTGTATTTTCAAAACTAAAGTCTTTAATAACACTTAAAAATGAAAAACCTTACAAGTCTAGACTTAATTCTTGAGTTATTATTCAGGCCTATTTCTGAATTTGGGGCATCTCCTTAGCAGGAGTTGTTTTTATGATTAAACCCTAAATATAAGTCCTTGCTGCTCTTCAGAGATAGGTAGTTTTGGAAGATACAACGGGATTTTTAGTGGAATCCTTCCGGATCAGTATCAGTTAGTAATATCAAAATTGGTCATTTATAGCTTACAGCTTTCCATTTCTATTGTTTCTTGATGTTTGCCTTTTCATTCAGCTTTTCATAACCTTTTCATTCTATAGATTCTGAATGTATCTGATAAGATTTAAATTTGCTGCTGTAATGTACTGATTTTTGAACCAAAAGGATACAGAAATCTACCAAAGTCTGGATTTCTAGAATCTGTGTTTTCTTGGGCCTGTGTCAGGTAGTATTAAAATTTGCATTTCATCTTAAAAAGTTAATGCTTTTGCAGGTTGAGATTAAAATAAAAATAAATTACAAAACCAATTAAAATATGCTAAGTGTTAATTCAGGATCTCAATTTTGCTTCAAGTCTTGAAAAAAGCCATCGTACACTTAATAACGCTTGGCAGTGATACTGATCACCAGAGTTGGAGACAAGCACTTTGAATTTTTTTAGAAATCTCCTTTTTTTTTTTTAATCTCCTTTGAGTCTTTTGTTTGCTTCATATCAGTCAAGCTTTTTCAAACAATGTCTTTTCATGCATCTTCAGGAATTTCATTGGTGATTCAATGAATGCAGGTGTCATGCCACATGGGAGGGCACATTTTTTTGTGTACAGGCTCTTAGGCAGTAAGGAAAGGCAAAGGTAACATAAATGCATAGCAAAAAAAATATTTGAAAAGCCACAGCAAACCTGATGTTCTTGTAAGGAACTTCTGCAGTTTTTATTTCAAGTGATAGCGATAACTCTTAATACTGTGATTCTGAATCTTACTTTGCAAATTGTCTGTTAATCAATAATATCTCACATTTTTCCGAAGCCAATTCTTTCTGTTTTTAAAAGACATTTAGTCTTCATGTTTGGTGTAGCATAGAAAGTTCCTTGTAAACTGTCTTTTGTATTTTGTTTTCCAGTTTGAAGCTGCATGGGTGCTGACAAATATTGCCTCGGGAAATTCCCTTCAGACTCGAATAGTGATCCAGGCAGGAGCTGTCCCCATCTTCATAGAGCTGCTTAGTTCAGAGTTTGAAGATGTACAGGAACAGGTAAAGATTGAAAACAGTTTTGAATTTTGTGTGTATATGTCTTGGTTTGTGGAGTTGGGGGATTTTTTGTTTGATTTTGTTTTGTTTGTTTGAGTGTTAGTTTAGTTTTTTTTTTGTTTTTGTTTTTTTTTTTTTTTTTTTTTGTGGTTTTGTTTGTTTGTTTGTTTTCCTTCCCCAGAAAGGAACAAGGCTATCCTGTAAGAAGGCCTTTAGAGAAAATGTAGTATTTGGCAGTTTTGCACAACAGTTCCTTTCTGCTTAGTGTGTGTTAAGATATCTAAGCTAAGCAAGTATTGTATTTTCCTCTTTCTAGAAGTGATATATTTAACCACAGCTGATGGGCTAATGGGTTAGTATTCTAATCTCTAATGGGTTAGTATTTTTCTGTGTATTGAGGAATTCAGGGAGCCTTGTTTGAATAATTGCTTTAGAGATGGAAAGTTCACGCCTGTTTCTCCTGAAAATAAAGCATGAGTGGAAATTATAGTTTGTTCTCTAAGAAGAAAATCATAGTTTGTTCTCTAAGTTCGTTACAGCATAGATGGATATTCTTTAAGGCCCACAGGGATCAGTGCAAAGCACAGACCAAACATTTGATTCAGTAGTTTCCACATTAGGTCCATAACTTGTGTTTGAACAGGGGTGTATTTCAGACATACAGTCTTGCTTTGAAGACTTAGGGTGATGAAACGTTAATGGTGTTAACAGATTTAGTTTCAGCCAATCTTAATCCCAAATTGAAAATAAGTACCTTTACTGTACAAATTTGGGTCCAGGTATTTGGTTTTTTTTTCGTTGTCTGCTCAGTTAGTTCTGTGTTTTTTCTTATAGCTTCTTGCAGGCCATAGCGTAAGCTTTACTTGAGCAAATGAATTTAAGTGCTGAATTCTCATATGAGAGTATTTCTGTGGTGTTTGGTTTGTTTTTTGGTGACCCTTTTCTGAATGTTCCTTTATTTCAATATCTTTTTGTGGTGGTGAAATTACAAGCACTGGATATTTCAGTAGCACTCTTTCAGCAATGCTGTTTGCAGGAATAGTACCTCGTTTTCATTTCTACTTGATACTTTGGTGTGTAAATATCCAAGGTGTCTTTGCGGACTCTTTGCCACAGAAGCTGGCTGCGAGCTCAGGTTAAGCTGATTATCCCATATGATCCGTTGTTCTTTTCAGAGTCACTGACTTCCAGGGTTCAGTTCTCCATCCTGTAAGTGCGACCTCTATTCTCTGTTCCTGGATGTCTGACCTTGCATTTGGCTGTATTGAGATGCATGACTGGAGGAGTCCCGACTCATAAACATTGGATTGCTTTGTGTAACTTGCCTTTCTTTCTTATAGCTGGCTCAGAATGTACCACCTGTACTTCAGGTTCCCTAACTTTTTCCAAAAGACAGATTTTTTTTTTTTCCTCAGTTGCTTATAGCTTTCAAGTTCTTCCACTTTGCAACTTTCCATTGTCAGTGTTCTGTCTCAGGCTAAATTATTTTTGAAAAGGCTTTTTTAGGAGAAATTGAATTCAGTTGTTTGAGAAAATGTTAAAGAAAATAAGGGGTATTTTTGTGTCCATTTTTTTAGCTTTGAGTAAATGAATCTGCTGCTGTTGTAGAAATTAGAAATGTGATAGGGAGCTTGCTGAAATGGCACATAAATGCTGTGTTCTGCCTGTGTGAAAATCCATCCATACTTAGCTATATGATGCCTTTTAGAGTTTGTTTTTTGAACTTGGTGGCATTACTTTCCAAATTGTATGGTAAGGGCTACTCTTATTTTTTATTTTTCCTAGTGGTCAGTCTTCTGTGCAAGACCTGACTTGCTTTTTTATTAGGTTGTTGCTGATGTTCAGAGAGCAGGTGGGAAGAGCGAACCTGGTTACATTAAGTTGTGCAGCCTTCAGTCTTAAGATGGGTGAATTAACAGAAGAGCTTAGGGGCCACAGTTAAGTAGTTTATCTGTCTCCTTCCCCCTTTGCCTCCTAATAAACTGCTAACATGTTAAAGTTCAGATTGCTGGCAGGCAGAGTGGGTTGGTTGTAATTACCAAAAAATATTCTTCTGTGCAGTTCAAGTGCTGCTAAATCCATGATCTCTCTATTGCCGATAATCTCTAAATACCAGTTAAAAATTGCTCTGTAGTAAGCTGTGCTAAAGAAGGAAAGTGTACCCTGCAGAGTATTACCTACACCTTTTCATAGTGGGCTTCTGTGCTGCAGCTCTAGAGATTGCAGCCCTGCTCACACCTGACTTTAATACAGGCCAACATAAAAGAAATTCTCTTTTTTTTCCCAACAGCTTTAAAAAAACCCAAGCACTTCACCACAATATCATCCAAGACAAAAATTAAAAGCATTAAGCACTGAAAAGTTAGCTCTTGTACTTCTATATTACAGGATAACATTAGTACACAATTGCATAGTATTTTTCCAGACGACTCTTGTCTCATGCAGTATATGCACAGCTTGTTGCCCTGGTAACAGATGAATGGGTAGTAAAGGAGGCTTTTATTTGTCACACTGTGACCCTGTTTGTTAAAGTTGGAACACATTATAGTGTGTGGAGGAGAATAGGAAAGAAGTTCTTACAATTAAGGAGACTGTAGGTTTGTGAGAAAAATGTTTCTATTGCTTAATGTCTGATGCTGGGTGATTTGCTTCTATCAGTGTTCAGTAAGTGGATACTAGTTCTGTGGCTTTTATATGCTCAATGTGAAATATTTCCATTTTGTTTAGTAGTTGAGGACAACTCAACAGCGGTTTTTTTAGGGTTAGGCCTGTGTTTTGAGCAGATCTGGTCCTGGGCTTCTCAAGCTGTATTTTTGAAACCGGAAGATATTTGGTCATAATTTTCTCTCCTGTAAAACGATCATCCTGATCATGTCTCACAGTGGAAGATTATTATTTGCGAGCAACTCCTGCTACATTTGCAACAAATTACAAAAATTGCAGGAAAATACAAAAAAAATAACTACATGTCCGGGGCAGATGGGCCAGAAGCTAACCCTACAATCATATAGCAAAAGATGAAGAGAAACAGAAATATTGAAGGCTGTGTTTAGTAAGCCTTTCTTTGTTCTAAATGGGATAACAATTCTGTAGAAGGAAATGTTAGTGGTAATATGATTTTCAATATGTAATATAGCATAAACAAAAATATTTTTAATATTTTTATTTTACTTACTGGCTAGTTATCCACTGTGTTTGCCTTCTAGTAAGTCAGTCTCAAAGATTTACTGTTGTTTTTGTCTTCTATTTGAAACTTCCCTTAGCAGTGGCTCAGGAACAGAATCCAGTTTACCTTATCTTCTGATAATGATTTTCCCACATGTATTTTCATATTTATAAGCCAGTTTTAAACTAATGTGTGGCACATTTTCCTTTGTGTGTGCTAGTTACAGTCCAGTGAAGACTATAAATCAGCAGTTTTATAGTAGTCTGTGAGGGAATCTCTGTAACTGTGTTTAATTAATAAGATATGTGTTGAAATTATTTATCTTACAAGATCTGTTTCCCACTGAACTGACATTTAATTACCCTCTCATCCTTAAACTCTTTCATTGCTTGCATTGTATATCAGTCTTTCTCAGATTATATGTCAGTCTTTCTCTTTGAGCAGTGGTCAAACCATTTGGCATCCATTTTACCTGTCAGTGAAATCGAATTTATCACAGAATCTACATTATTTATGAAAAACACTTTGGCTCCGTCTCCTCACCTCTCCCCGTTTCTGTGTACTGATTTTTAGATTTAGTCAGTGACATATGTCCTAGCCTTCTTCCACTTATCACAATTGTTTGCTTCCAGAAGACATCTAGAAATGTTGATATGCTTGCCTGAAATTATTTATATTGAAGAACTCCATCAAAGCCTTTAGACATGCTTAAGGCTGATCTGGCTTCAGCAGTGTTTTAACTGCAGTTCTTTCCTAACTGTCTGTGCTGCAGTATTTAAAACCCAGATGTCAACTTGTGATGAACATGGAATTTTCTTCAAAAACCATGCAAGGCATTGTGCTCCCTGTCGATGATGACTGAGATTGTCTCACAGTGACAGATCTGTGTCATCATGCTCTGCTGGATGGCCGATGGCACGAGCATCCCCAGCTGTCCTGTTCTGCTTTGGAGAAGTTGCATTTTCAGCTGAAGTAACCTATGTGTTTTTCCCTCGGTATTTTTCCATTTCTAGTTGTATTGCTATTCCTTTTGGGAACCATTGTTTGCTTGCCAGAGGTGACCTGTAAGTCTGGTGTCCAAGTGCTGTTTGGCTTTTAACCCAGCAGTCCTACTAGCTGGGTCTTAGTAATCAAAATAAGGAAAAACAGCCAAGGTGTGAGTACGAGCTACTTTCTCTGTTTGGTGAATGAGAGAAATAAGGAACTATGATCACCCAACCACTGAAAGAAAGGTGTTTTCTCTGTTAGGACATAGTAGGAGTCATCTCCTAGGAATAGGGCCTTCTGGTATCCTTCTTTGTGATCACCAAATCGCACCTGTGTGCAAGTCAGTCTTCACCATCGTCATCCCAGCATTAGATCCATTTCCCATGTCAACAGCCAAATGTAGAGAAAGTGTTGATTCTTACTTCATAATAGTTCTTCACCACTGAGAGGCACAGACTCTATGCACTGTTGGTTGGTTTAGCACTTGGTTTAAATATCCAAAGGAATAATGAAATAATGGCTGAAAGTCTTCGTCATCCAGGAGAAAGTGGAGGGTTGTCAAAAAACACATGGATTACTCACAGAAGGCACCATATGGTTTAACAGTACCCTACAGAATTTCCACTTTACTGTTACTGACTACTGAAGTCATTCAGCACTACAGGAAAAAACACTGTAGTTCAACGATGAGTAAAATGAACAGGAGACCTGCGACAATCCCTACTCTATTATTAGCAATAGATGGAAATTTATACAGGTGTATAAAAATAGGTGCCGTCAATTAACAAGGCAGCATTTGCATGTTCAGTTTACACACAACTTTCTATCTAAGATGCGAGTTAAAAAGTCAGGCTACAAATTTTAAAATTACAGGTTCTTGCCATCTTCAGGTCTGGATGTAGATATTAGAAAGTACTGAAATGGAATTTGTTTTTAGAGTCAAATTTTTTTTATTTAATAAGCTCTGAAATTTAATGGAATTAGATATCCCTGCAACTATCCAGGAAAGAAGATAAAAACATAGTGGATGTGTAGCACAAAGCCAAAATGTTATGGCAAGCATTTGGATATTGAGGAGTGCACAAAAGAAGAAATGAAAATCACTGAACATTATTCAAATAAACAAACCCTGAAGAAACTTCCATTGTTTGTGTGTTGTCTGTGGGAACCGTGACAGAGCTTTGTATTTATGGTAATGTCTGTTGAGGAGAGTTTAAATTATTTACGTTCATCACTTATCTGAAGAGCTAAAGTAATTCCTTAAGGAAAGATGTTTTCTTGCTGAAGGAAACCTTGCATATTTTTCTTAAGACATTTCAATTTCAATTATTTGTGTCTTGCTGTCCTGTCAGTCATTATCATTACAAGAATTTCTTTCAATAATCCTCTCTTACTGTGATATCAGACTACTTGGCCAAGTCTTATTGCCATAAAAAAAATCAAGAGGGGTAAAGCAGTAGAGATGCTATTTGACTTCTCTGGTCAGACCTTTTGATGTGAGACTTGCTGTTGCAAAGCTAGTCTGTCATTCGGGATCAGAATGGATTCTTGGATTAAGTGATTATCACTGTTGTCAACCCTAAAAATAGATACTGCTCTAATGGCGAAACAAAGACCACAGACAAGTAAAATGCGGCTTCCTTGTTTTGGTATGTGTAAGGGTGTCCAGACAAGGAGGCTGTATCTTCACACAGTCAGTCACTGTTCAATGAAGGGAAATTATTGCAGATTCTAACGTTCTTCACCCCTAAATGTTTTTAGAAGATCCACAAGTTTTTTTAGAACCTGTCTGAAATCTTAGGCTTCTCATTGCTGCAGAAATTGCGGTGAGCAACAGGTGTGGTTCCTTGCAGTTCTAACACAAGTGATGTTTTCCAGGATGTCTCTTAAGCTAAATTTTTCTGGTGGCTGTCTTCTGCATCTTGAGTCCATGAAGCTGCCAGACCCAAGGTTATACTTTTCAGATAACCTGTCGTCACAACGGTTTGAAAGAGTAAGAATTGGAATGAAAAATAAGTTTTCATGACAAGGATCAGTTTTGGGGAAATGTTGCATAGTAATAATGCTGTGCTGTTTTACAGCAAAGGTCAGTATAGTCTCGTGCCCTGCCTCTGGCTGTGGCTGACAGCAGAAGCCTGGAAAACAGTAGGAAACAAAACAAACTAATCCTTCCCCAGAACAGTCTCCTGGTCTCTTCACAACTTGCAGTTTAATGACCTCCGATCCTATGGTATTGTTAGTAGTACTGGTACAGAGGAGTCCTCTTTTTATTTTGTATCTAGCAAGCTGACATCTGTATATACATCTGGTTTTAGCTGTATTAGTTTTGCAGGGTTTGCTAGTGGATTTGGACCTCCAGAGTGGTTGAAGTCTGTTTTTCAAAGTAGCATCTCTTTGCCACTGTTTACAAACACATTACAGCAGAAATCTAATGCAGTAAATCAATTGACATCACGTTGAAAGTGAATAAATAAGTTTATTTTGGATTGTCCAAGAATTACCTCTAGGTAACAAATTTGGCTTATTCTGTCAGTTTTTTTAGAGGAGCAGTTTATTTCCAATAGTTATAGGGGAAAACATGTTTATTTTGTTTGAGGAACTTGCCTGTGTTCAACTGGAGAAAGTTCTGCACTGTAACACATTTTACTACAGCTAAATACATAACCTTTAACTGAAGAGAAATTTGAGGAGGACATTCAGCTGCTATCCATGATAAGTAAGATTGCTTTTGTCCTCTATGCAGAATTGGAAGTATTTCCAGTGGTTGTATAGATACATGTATCTATGAAGCCAAATGCCAAATAAGCCAACCAAATAAGCATATACATGTATCTATTTGATGTGACTTAGCCTTCTGCTAACTTGAAATAAATAGCAAATGTGAATTTTGTATGCTTTCTTGTGTGACGAAATATTGTCTGCCATTTGCATGGAATTCATAAAATCGCTTTTATATTTCACATAGAATGCTAGTAATTTTTTTAGTTATAGCTCTTATACTAGTGGACAGTGATATCAAAAATACCACTTGGCCCAAATGTATAAATCAAAAACAATGGAATATTTTATTCTCATCATATTACAGAGGATGAATTTCATGCATCTTTAATTCTGATATTTTTGATCTTCTCAAAATGAGGTGTTATGGTAGTACTGACGCCCAAGGGAGAAAGTATCTGTCCTTGCAATTTGCCATGCATATGGCTTAATCAGCAACAGTGGTTGTCTTGTATAGTTTTATCTTAAAGAATATATGTCAATGCTCATCTAAACTCTTTGATTCTGAATATTGGTTTATCTTGCATACAGATTCTCATCTTTATCTTAGTTGTTGTCATCATCCTTATCTGACTGTGTAAATAATGCATGCTTTTATGGCTTTTAGGAAATACTAACATGGGCTGTTCCACACCAACATTTTTGGGTAGATACAGACTTGCTTGACCTGTGGTATGAACATCTGGATTTAAATTAGCTCTGAACAAGGAGGAGTGTAGAACAGAATGTTACTAAGCCTGGGGAGACGAGCTTATCTCTTATATTGCGGACAGAGCAAGGCTATGTCTGCCTACAGAGTCTTTGGAGATATACGTGTTGGCTGTTATGGTATTCCTCTTAGATCTGTATAAATATTCCTCAATCGTATAATGAGCTTGACTGTAATACTCAACCAGAATACATTGCCCTTCTTATGTTGTCCAGGATCTAACAGTTAGAACAGAGTATCTCCCAACTCTAATACATATGTTAAACTGGTGGAATTTTGAGAACAAAAGCAATTACTATTCTGTTTTTCTTTACAGGCAGTGTGGGCTCTTGGCAACATTGCTGGAGACAGCACTATGTGCAGAGATTATGTTTTGGACTGTAATATCCTGCCTCCTTTATTGCAGTAAGTCTGTTATAATATGTTTTCCAGAATTTTGCTTGAGTGTCTGATAAGACTGAAATTTCGTTTTTTTGCCTTGAAGAATAATAATATTTTTTTTTTTAATTGTGGACTGATCAGACTTTTTAGTGGGGAGTCCTGAACTACTTTACTAGAGAACCTAAAATGGGAACATGTTTTAGAAGCAGCTAAGCTGGAACTATTTTATACTACAGTGTGGGTGGATGCCTGGGCTTATTTTAGAGTCACAGAATAATTTAAATTAAAAGACACCTCTGAAGGTCATCTACTCAAAACCTTTCTTCATAGCAGGTGGGATCAGATTAGGTTGCTCAACTACTTAACCAGTCAAATTTGGAACATCAGAAGTAGATTCCGTAACCACCTGTGGCAACCTGTTGCAGTATTTGACTGTGGCATGGTGAAACGTGGTGTTCTGATACCTAATCAGAATTTTCTGTTTTGCCTTGTGATGGTTGCCTCTTGGTCCTGTCACTATGCAACTGTGAGAAGGATCTGGCTTCCTGTTTTCTCTATCCACCTGTTTAACTGTTGCCAGCGGCAGTTATATCTCCCCTTACACAATCTCTTTCTAAGGCTGAACAAATCCCATTGCATGCCATTTCTCTAGTCTGCTAATTATCTTGATGGTTCTCTGCCTAAGGACCATATTATTGCTGAAACAGTGACACCATCTTGTGTTGTCATGTCCAAATTACGATTACTCAGTCTCTCTCCTTTGCAGATTCTGTTTGCAGCAGGAGAATTCTCCAGTGCTCTCATAAAAACACTGTGGGATAACTATGGGAAAAAGAAACTGTCCTGTGGGAAAACTAGGTCTTGCCTTTCTGCATTTTCCTATGCCGAAGTGGGGCTCATAGTCTGAGGCTGACATAGAAATTCAGTTTGGCTAAGAGAGAACTCTCCAAAACTACCTGCATGTCCTCCTTTGAGTAATTTTGTCACAATTCTTGCACTTTTTGACTGTTAGTCTGCCGCATCAGTATCTAAGCAATTAAGTAAACACGCTTTCAGTGTAATGGTTATTTTACTTATTGGGATACTAGATTCCTATATCTAGCATATGTGTTAGTATCCAGCTATCAAGGATGATTTTCCTCAGAATGTAATTTTGTAGAAAAAAATCTTACTGTATTTTGCCCTGGTGTATGTTAAAATGAGTTTGTTTTAATGATTCACTTAGTTGACCCTACAGGGTTACCTGGCTTTGATTTTTAAAAGGCAAGGGTTGGAATTTTTTGTTGTTTGTTTTAGATTACTTTCAAAACAGAACCGTCTCACTATGACTCGAAATGCTGTATGGGCTCTATCCAACCTCTGCAGAGGGAAAAATCCTCCTCCCGATTTTGCCAAGGTAAGAGGTGTTTGAAAGGAAATGTGTTGTGAAGTGGTGCTAGCCAAATAATCAGTGAGGGTGGTGAAAGGTAAACAAAATGGAAAGAATGGGTCAGAGAAATTCTGAAATGTATCATGGGCTTCTTACAGATGAAATTTTTTGGGCAGACATTCGCAACCACTGTTTTCATATGGCTGCCTCCTAACTTTGTTACTGTTCCTGTACTGGAGATGACCATCCCTTAGCAGAACACCACTGTACATCTTGGCTGCTGTAGAGCAATGTGTGGCACATCTTAGCAGACAAGTATGAGTTTAAGTTGCCGTAGACAACTTAAGACTTTGTACTGCAGAGGCTGAAGAATTCTCATAGTGCTTTTCTGCAGACGTGCTCTTCTGTGCTTGTGTAGCTACAGCCCTGCACAGAAGTGCTACCTAGGTCTGAAATTTTCTAAGTATTGAACCTTAATATGCCAGTGCCTAGCCTATAATGACACATACAAAATTAGCTGACATAATAATAGATCTATTGGCCCTTCTAATTGTATGGTTTATGTCTCTCCTCTTAATATTTTACAGGTTTCACCTTGTCTTAGTGTGCTTTCCTGGCTGCTCTTTGTCAATGATACGGATGTATTAGCTGATGCCTGCTGGGCTTTGTCCTATTTGTCTGATGGCCCAAATGATAAAATCCAGGCTGTGATTGATGCAGGAGTCTGCAGAAGACTTGTGGAACTGCTAATGTAAGAAACTTGTTATAAGCAAGCTTACTGTCTACTCTTTTCCCTAAAATCAAGGTTGTAACAATAGGAAGTTCAATTAAATATGTCTTGAAATGTCATAATTTTCCAAAGAGCAAGATGCGAGCTTTAATTTTACCTGTCTGTTCAATGTTCTCTATTTGTCATGAGTAACAGAAACAATGGAACTTTTCTTTTACTAGTTTTGCTATTTCTTAAGAGATTTTTTCCCCTGCATCTAACAGCTACACTTTTGTAAAATCCATAATACATACTGGAATTTCCCCTGTGCTATTGAAGACCTTTTTATATTTACCTAAAAGGAAATTGCAAAAGGATAACAAAGATAGAAATGTAAGAAATAGTTAAATTTACTAGAATTGACAGTACCAGGAACTTGAAATATAAATAATTTCCTAAACGCTTACTGTAGAAGAGAATATGCACGCTTTGGTCAGTAAGGTGTAGCTGTGAGAGTTGGGGTCACAGAGACTGGCCTTGTTCAAAGCCATTTCTTCAGGCCTAAGGTCAGGACGTGGAACATTCAGTTGCCTAAGAAAAAGGAATAATGGTTTTCACTGATGTGAATAAAAAGACTGTTAAGGTTTTTAAGATTAAAGCGAATGTGATACTGGATTAATGAATAGAACATAGTGCCTGTAAGTAGCTTTTTATAAACAAGTGTTTTCATTTGAGAAAAAAATTCCTTTCTTCACCCTTCCTATTCTAAACCTGATTTAACAATGATGATGGAGGGATGCATATGATGACAGAAGGTGGTCAAACAGCTGTATGAGTTAAACACACAAGTTCTATCTTAATTTTTCTGTCTCATTCTCTGCCTTTGTGTGTGCTACATTAAGTATATTTTATAGTTAAAGCTGATTATTTTTCCCTTCCAAGGATGCTTAAACTTTGAAGTACTTGTATTCTTCTAATATTTTATTTTTATGCTGCTGAATGATGTCTGAAGGCCTAAATATTTAGAAAACCTAGAAAGGCTTACCTTGGTTTAAAATCAGAATGTTTTGATTCAGGTAATGAGAGTTAAGTCAGACTTATCAGGGAAGTTTCCCCTGGCTGATGGATGTTCCTTCCTTGAGAATGTAAAGATGGAGATGCCTCAGGATGGTTAATACTTTAATTTTTCTTGTCAATTCTAGGCACAATGACTACAAAGTTGTATCTCCTGCCTTACGAGCTGTTGGCAACATTGTCACAGGAGATGATATCCAGACCCAGGTATGGATTCACTTTCTCTTGTGTTGTACTGCAGTTCATCTTTCTATCAGTTGTGGTAACCTGTTCACAAGCATCTCCTCTTGTTCCCTTTGAAGTTTAAAAGTGAGGATTGATGACACTAATTGCTTCAAAACATGTGGTGGTTTTCAGTTTTTCTGTTCAGTCCTGAACTGCTGGTGATTCCTAGGTAGCTATGTTTGGGACTTACATACAACTGTGCAATACCCCTCAAGGGTGGGGTGGTTTTTCTTTGTTTGTTTAAAGCAGGTCTGCCTCTTAGGCTGAATTTTATGCTGAGTGATGTGCCGTGGTAGGGCCATCTGAGGCCTGTCCCATTGAATGCTGTTGTTAGGAATCTCGGATGAGTATACCAAAAACAAGTGTCTGGTCAGATTTTGGATGGTATGTAGCTGTGTCTGAGCACGTGTTTGGAGAAGCATCAGTAGGAAGCAGTGACTCCCACCACTTCATTGGAATTAAATTGGGAGCCAGGAAACCTGATGCTTCTCAGAAGCACTAGGTTGTCACTGGGATGCTTCTGTAGTTCTGTAACAGTGAGGTTTGAGTTAAAGATGAGTTAGCAGCACCAGGGCACTGTTTGAATATCTTATCACTAGGAGGAAGATAAGATGATTTTTTGATTGTTACGATGTATTTTGTGTAGCTGAATTGCATAGGCATTCTTGTATTTTTTTCAGTGGCATTTGTTTCACAGATCAGTCATAAAGAATGATTAAGGTGTGTTTTGTGATTTCATAATTTCTTTGAAGATAAAACCACAAGGGATCACTAATTAAAATGTAACGCGGGTTATTAAATACTGCACAGATCTTAGATTTTAGCTAAAAAAAATCTGTAAGCTTTTTTGTTGTGCATGATTTTTTCAGAGGAGCATACCATAAGCTTTCCTAAAATTCTAGAGAACTGTTTAAGTAGGATAATTTGATGGTCCTGCCCGAAGGTTGTGCTGTATGCTAAAAAATGATACAGGATGCATATAAAAATCATTAGTCAGAAGGAAGAGCCCAACTTTGAGAGCCGATACATTTCTGAATATGAATGCAGCATACAAGCCAGTTGCCTGAGAACTTCTCTGTACAATCTTAGAGCACAAATCTACTTTCTCTTTTCTCTCATTTCCAACTGTTAACAATTGCCACTGCTTGGAGATAGCTAAAACCATAGATAATGGGCATGAAGAAATAAGTATATTTGTCCCAGCAGACACCTGATACAATCCTGAACCATAACCTTTGTTTTTTTAATCTTAGTCAAAAAATTTGAAGAGTATGGGCCCAGGGACATAAGAACAAGTGAATTCAGTCCACAGATTCCATGATCAGAAATCTTGATTATGATTCAGCTCAACTGGAGTATTTCTTATAAAATTCTCTACCACACTGTTCTTTCTAAGCTGTCTGCTTTTGCTACACAAGGCAGAACTGCTGTGCTTCTTGGTAGACTTTCCCAATTTTTAGCTTAATTGTAACAAGTTGGAATTTAATTAAAAAAAAAAAGTTCATTTTTCAGTCTTTGAACCTTGTTGTGGCCTTTTAGAATGTCAAAAAGCCCTTCACTATCACACATGACATAATCAAATAATCTGTCTTGTAACATCCGAGTTCTGAGGCATTTTCTGTTGTACTTTCAGCACTTAAAATTTTGATTTTTGGAAATAGAAATTTTCTTGCAATTTTTCTGCTCTGTAAAATTGTGGGTTTTTTACAATTTTTTTGGTAATTTTTCATATAAGAATTGCCATTCATAATGTCACTGGACACAACACTGGCAACAGCTACTCCACAGTGCCAGCTGATGTGGAAAACAGAAGTAGTTGGAGCTTACAAGTATACAAAAATACAGGAAAATACCATCATCTTATTTTTGTTTGGTCATAATGGGCTTGTTATCTTGTGTTCAGGTCACACTGAAATCATTATAAAGGCGTGATCTTCTACCTGAATGACTGAGTTGTTTTGCTTATTAGCTTTCCTGCTAAGATCTATTTCTTAGTTCTTGCTATTTTTTTGTTTTGTTCATGTTTGGTGGTTTGGGGTTTTTATTAAAACTTTTTGGGATCATCTGATGGGGTATGCCTTTTAGATTTTCAAGACATTGTATTCTTGTTCCTGTGATTCTTTATCCTAAATTTCTTCTAAGGTGTGGTTTGTTTGTTTTGTTTTGTTTTTCCTTTTGTATTCAGGTAATTCTGAATTGTTCAGCCCTGCAGAGTTTACTGCACTTGCTAAGCAGCCCGAAAGAATCTATCAAAAAGGAAGCATGCTGGACAATATCTAATATAACAGCTGGAAACAGAGCACAGATCCAGGTAACCTTTTCAGCTATGGTCAGTAATCTTTGTCTTGCAGGCTAGAAGAAACACACATCAGGTGGTACACTTTTTTGTGTATAAAGGGCATATTTGTGTGTATGTACAGTCACGGGTATAAGGGGGGAAGATGGTCATGTTAGGGAAAGACAAAATGGAGCTAAAATTTTGTCTTAAATAATTTGCTTTGTGCTTTTAACAATTGCTGAGATACAGAAATTCTCAAGTAATGAAAAGAATGAGCTACAACCTTTGAGAATCAAATAACTTTACAGACAACCCTACATTGTAAAATACTTCATTCCTGTTTATATTTTCTTATAATTTCTGATAGAGGGAGGCATGCTTAGCCGAATCTAAAATTGCTGTTTATTAAACTGAACAATAATGGAGGCTATCTAACATGTTGCACTGGGATTTGTCCTTTCTGATTATACCAAATTTTGTAATCCTTTCTTGTTAAGTGATAGCACACAGAAGCAAATGTCTCACTCCCTTATGTCAGTCTGTAAAAGGCCTCCAAAAGATCAGATCTTTGTTCTGAGTCTGGACTGAGTATCAGCCATCAGTAAGAATTCTCAGGACTTGCCTCTAGCTGGAATAAATGAGAGATGGAACATCTTTTCCCCAGGGAAAATTTTTTCTTTGGCTAGATGAAGAAGAAACAGCTCAATACATTTTGTTTTCCCTGAATGTGGACTTCTGTTCAAGAACAGCTGTCATAGGGGAATTTTTTGCTTGGCTTTCAAGGATATTGGTTTGGCTTGGCTGGGTGTCAGGTATCCTCCAAAGCTGCTCTATCACTCCCCTTCTCAGCTGGAGAGGGGAGATAAAATACAAGGAAAGTTTCATGAGTTGAAAGAAGGACAAGGAGAGATCACTCACTGGTTACTGTCAGAGGCAAAACCAGACTCAACTTGGGAAATTAATAGGATTTATTACCAATCAAAATCAGAGTAGGATAATGAGAAGTAAAACAAATCTTAAAAACACCTTCCCCCCACCCCTCACTCCTTCCTGGACTTAACTTTATTACTGATTCTCTATCTCCTCCCCTGTGGAGTGCAGGTCAGTTCATCACAGGTTGTTTCTGCCACTGCTTCCTCCTCAGGGAGAGGAGTCCTTCACCTGCTCTAGCATCGTGTCCCTCTCATGGGAGACAGGCCTCCACAAACTTCTCCAATGTGAGTCCATCCCACAGGCTGCAGTTCTTCATGAAATGCTTCAGTGTGGGTCCCTTTCCACAGGAGGCAGTCTTTCAGGAACTGGCTGCTCCAGCACGGGTGCCCCGTAGGGTCACAAGCCTCACCAGCAAACCTCCTCCAATGGGGGCTCCTCGTTCCACGGGTCCCCAGGTCCGGCCAGGAACCTGCTCCAGTGTGGGCTTACCATGGGGTCACAGCCTTCTTCAGGCATCCACCTGCTCGGGTGTGGAGTTCTCCATGGGCTACAGAGGAACAGTCTACCTCATCATGATCTTCGTCATGGACTGCAGGGGAACTTCAGCTCCAGTGCCTGGAGCACCTCCTCCCCCACCTTCCTCCCTGACCTTGGTGCCTGCATAGTTGTTTCTCTCACGTGTTCTCACTTTTCTCTGGCTGCAATTACTTCGGCCCAATAATTTTTTTCCCCTTCTTAAATATGTTACCACAGAGGTGTTACTAACCATTGGTGATGACTTTGGCCTTGGCCAGTTCCAGGCCCATTTTGGAGCCAGCTGGCTTTGGCTCTATCAGACATAGGAGAAGTTTCTGGCAGCTACTCAAAGAAGCTACCTCCGTAGTACTGCCCCCGCCCCAAACCTTGCCACCCAAACCCAATGCAAAAAACATTGCCTCGTTCCCTTTCTCTTTCAGAAGTGTTAAAAAAACAGATTGTAGTGAATCACAGAATCATGAAGGCTTGGGTTGGAAGGGACCTCAGAGATCATCTGGTTCCAACCCCCCTGCCATGGCTGAGGATGCCACTCACTAGATCAGATTGCCCAGGGCCCCATCCGCCCTGGCCTTGAAAACAGGCTTTATCTGATAAATACAAGTGTTTCCATCAAAGGCAGTTCAATAACAGTCTCACATAAATAAAATTGAATTCTTCTGAAGTCAGGTTTTTCAATTCTCTTCTCACTCACTGGATACAAAGTATTTTTAGAGATTGCAGAGGATGCATGAAAGTCCAGCTGAAGACATCTATTCCTTGAGGAATAGAAATAAATGGCAGAAATATTAGATACAAGAAATATTTGTCTCACTCATTAGTAACCAGGCAGGAACAATGCATGTTTACACAGAAAGTGAACCAAGCCCCACAATGGATTGGCAAAAGTGGCCAAGGAGTGCCTGTTTCCCCTCTATCCTTTTCCTTGGAAGGCAGTTTGATGCTTGCTGGTCTTAAAACTGGTGACTGGGTTATTCATTCTGTATGTCAGAATTAGCATGAAGTGGTTGACCCTCTTCACCCAAGAGGTGGAATTATTTCTCTTTCTGCAGAAAACTTGCACAAGATTATGAAAAGGTTGCATTATTTTTCCTAAGGAATAAGTGTATTACACCCTTTGCAGCTGACACTTGGAATCTTTTGGTTTTATGTTCTCCTTTACAAAAAGCATTCAGCTGCTGAAGGGACAGCCTAAAAGCCTTAATACCTTGAACGAGTTCTTCATCTCAGAAAGCATTGGAAATAAAGTTAATACTTTTGTGGAAGATAACTCAGTCTCTGCTAAACTTCTGGAAATGCCTGGAAATAAAAGCAAGTCCTCATCTAACTTCAGTGATGCTTATCTTAGGAAATGAGTAGGCAAAATGCAAAAACTTTTGGAGGTAGAAAGCTCTGTAGGTCCTTCTTGTCTGTGTAAGGATGTGACTAAGATGGAAGTGGAACTGTGAGGAAGGAAACTTCCTACAGTGGTATTTGCTCTGGCTTCCTCTGACAGGATTTTGATTTTACCACCAAAGTTCATGGTTTTTGTCAGATGTAGAGAATGATATGGTCACTTAATCTAACCTTGGTAGAGCTCCAAGAATTTTGATTCTGCCTTTATTGTGGTTTGTGCATTAATCCATGGATTAGCTGAATTTCTAACAAAAAGTGCTTTGTAAAATCAGCAACTGTACCACTGTTTTTTCCCTCATCAGCAATTGTAATTGCTGTGTAAGTAGCAGTACAGAGAAGGTAGTTACTACTGCTTGTACTAAGGTAAAAATGTTTTTGCCTTTTCATTTCTTCCAGCGAAGAATATTTGGGCTGCTTTATCCCTGCTATTACCACTTTAGAAACAGTATTTTCTCTCTGGAGGGCCATTTCTGCTTTTTCTGGAAAGTCTAAGAGTATTTGCCTAACCTACCTGAACAAAATTGTTAGTCTATACATGTGTGTGTTTAGTAGTGTTTAAATGTTTTGGTGTGTCTTGTGACAGATCATCTGCCTTCCTACTGAGAGCACGTTAGAATTCCATTGTGGGTTGAAAAGGTGAAGTGGGAAGTAGGGAGAGGGAAATTCATGCCATGAGCCATTAATATTGCACCTTCATTTCTAGCAGTGACTCTTTAGAAGTACAAAAAAAGCCCCTTAACTCTGCATAGAAGAATGATTTTGATTATGTGGATAGAAGCTTTCATTCTCAGGATTCTTGCATCAGGAAGAAACCAGTGTCAAATTACTAGAATACATGCAGATTTAAAAGAATCCAGCTTAAAAGCATCTGCCTTAGGACATGTCACAGCCAAGGTTGGAAGCATGTTGATTCATTATGCAAGTCCAGGGAAAAAAATAAAAGCAGCATCTTCTGAAAACTGAAATCTGTGTTTCATTTAAAAGTCCCTCAGGCCCCATTCAGAGTAACTGAGCTGCCTTCGAACTGCAAGCACACACATGCTTTGTAGTGAAACACTGACTTCCTTAGGTGCATACCCAATTTAATCTATACTGACAGTTAAAAAAATGAGATTAAAAAAATAGTGTTTCCGATTCTGAGTGGGAGATGACTATCCTGGTAATGATGACATATTTCAAATCATGTCCATCACGAGGCTTAGATTTTTTGGAACTGCAGAAGGAGGAAAATTGTGAAGTAAAGGACAGTAGAAAATACTTACAACACGCTTGATCTCAAAGCCAATATTTCTTGGAAGTAAAATTGGCAATTGCAGGTGTAATTGAACCAATTATCTTGTGTTTAAAGGCAAATCTCATTGCACATGTGTAATAAGTTCCAGAAAGGGTCTCGATTCTTTAGTTTCTTGTCTCGACCTAGAGAATGTTGTGCGAGATACAAAGTGTGATGAAACCTCCTTTGAACTCCAGAGCTGACAGGTCTGCATTTGTCAAAAAACTCCTCTGAGGTATTATTTCAGGCAACTCCTACTTAATGTCAAAATCATTGTAAACGTTTGAGCTGAAAAACACTGTAAAAAAGTAATTTCTGAAGTTGGAAAATGCTGTTTGGTAAAGTGTTTCTTGAAAACGGTCATATACTATATGGAGAATAAAGGCATAGTCTGTTTTTAATAGCTGTGAGGATAAAGGATAATTCCCATCTGGGGACCATATCTGACTTAACTAAGTTCATGGGTGAACCTGTTTCGTCTGTGAGTTGGTAGTTTTTTTTTTCTTTCTCTAAGTTAATTTCACATTGTGATGAATTAAAACATTCTTCTTGAGAATTGGTCTTCCTTACGTAAGAAATTCTAAAATACTAGATGCAGCTCTAATGTAAATAATTTATTTTCCTTTCTCTCCAGTCCCTCCAAATTGCTCAACAGTTCCTACTGGAGGTCGTTGACTGGAGCCAGACCTATTCCAGTCTCTGTGATACAGATTGGATCTTGAACATGCACAGTCTTTAGCCAGAAATCAGACAAGAACAATTTGAGCACATGATAGTTTTTTTTCATGTCTGCCTGGCATAGTAAACCACATTATTGCAAGTTACCAGCTGATCTGACTAGTGGGTTGTTGCTCCAGATCAGTCGAGATGTTAGAATACTATGGAATCTTTGGGTAGT